ATAAAAGTGATACCGGCCGGCGCTGCGGCTCACTAGGCTAATCCTCCGCCTAGCGGCGCCGGCGCACCGGGTTCTAGTCCCGGTCGGGGCGCCGGATTCTGTCCCAGTTGCCCCTCTTCCAGGCCAGCCCTCTGCTGTGGCCAGGGAGTGCAGTGGAGGATGGCCCAGGTGCTTGGGCCCTGCACCCCATGGGAGACCAGGAGAAGCACCTGGCTCCTGCCATTGGATCAGCGCGGTGCGCCGGCCGCAGCGCCCATTGGAGGGTGAACCAACGGCAAAAGGAAGACCTTTCTCTCTGTCTCTCTCTCTCACTGTCCACTCTGCCTGTCAAAAAAAAAAAAAAAAAAAAAGTGATACCTGTGGGGTCTCTTGCTCCTTAAAGAAAATGGGCTCAGGCTGCTATTTAAGATTTACTTATTTATTTTAAAGAGTTACACACACACGTGCGCGCACATGGAGAGAGAGGGAGGGAAGGAAGGAGGAAGGGAAGGATCTCTTCATCTGCTGGTTCACTCCCCAAAAAGCCACAATAGCCAGGCTAAAGCCGGGAGCCCGTACCTCCATCCTGGTTTCTCACGTGGCTGGCAGAGTCCCAGGTACTTGGACCATCATTCACTGCTTTTCTAGCCTCATTTGTAGGGAACTGGAAGGGAAGCTGAGTGGCCAGGACTTGAACCAGTGCTCTGGGATGGGATGCTGTCATTGCAAGCACGGCTTAACCCACGAGTGCCACAGGGCCAGCCCTGCATTACTGTTTTTGTGGGAATTTCTGGTTTGTGTTGTGGGGGTGAGGGTGTATCTGCTTTTGAGACTTTCTGGTGACGTTGGAAGACTAGGAGGGAGGAGGGTATTTGCATTTGCTTGTTCACGGTTTTGAGGGCCTTTCCCTCATCCTACTGGCAGTACTGTGGTAGACGAGTTCCTGTTTATCTGTGTGGGTATCTGATGTCTGCCCTGCACTGGACTTCAGGGCGTGGAAGGGTTGTGTCTATGGGGTACCTCTGCCGTCCTTAGCTTCCAGCAGGTACCTAGTGGGCTTTCAGTGAGTACCTGCTGGATGATTGTTGTGGAGCTGTTTGGTCCTTGGAGAGACGGGGTGGCTGAACTGGTCTTGTATTTTTCCAGGGCCCCAAAAAAGTGGGCATATTGTGGCGTGAGGCTGGGCTCAGCTGGAAAGAATTTCTGCCTGAAGGCCAGGATGTCGGTGCATTCATCACTGAACAGGTTTGGGGCTGGAGTTAGGTTAATTTTAGCTTCTGGGCCTGGCCAGTCTTCTCCCTCTGCCTTCATCTCTCAGGTGGCACAGGGGACCTGTTGACTGGGTCTTTTTGATTGCAGAAGGTGGAGTATACCCTGGGAGAGGAGTCCGAAGCCCCTGGCCAGAGGGCACTGTCCTCTGAGGAGCTGAGCAGGCAGCTGGAGAAGCTGCTGAAGGAGGGCAGCAGTAACCAGCGAGTGTTCGACTGGATAGAGGTGTGAGGTGGGGGGATGAGCGGGAGGGTTTTCTTAGAGTGAAGTTTGGGGGTGCAGGAGTGGACCTTGGGCCTGATTTTCAACCTGTGGACCATGTGTCTCTTGTGCAGGCCAACCTGAGTGAGCAGCAGATAGCATCCAACACATTAGTTCGAGCCCTCATGACGGCTGTCTGCTATTCGGCAATTATCTGTAAGAGGAGCCAGGGAGGTGGTGGGAGCAGGGTGAGGGGTTCAGCCTTTGCCTCCTAGGTCTGAAACAGCTTATGAACTATTATTTCACTTGCCCCTGTCTTCTTTCCTGCAGTTGAGACTCCCCTCCGCGTGGATGTCGCAGTGCTGAAAGCGCGAGCGAAACTGCTACAGAAATACCTGTGTGATGAGCAGAAGGAGCTGCAAGCACTCTATGCCCTCCAGGCCCTTGTAGTGACCTTAGAACAGCCCGCCAGTAAGAGCCAGGCCTCGGGGATGGGGGTGGGCTGGAGGGACCACTGGAGAGCAGAGAGTAGTCAGGGAAGGGTCTCAGTCCGCGAAAGGCTGATAGTGCCCTGATGGTTTGGTGCCTTCTCCCTAACTTTATTTCTCTGTCTACAAATGGAGGAAGTTGGACTTAGCCTTGAAGGTTAATGGACTGACTGCTTTGTGCTTAGTATCTGTTAGATAGCAGCAGTAAAGGTGAGAACATGATAGCATCTGTCAGGGGCTGCCATGTGCCATGGCTGTCTGGCACAGGGCCGGAGGCTCAGCTTGCCTGCCTCATTTAGTTGTCACCATGGTTGTTTAGGGTAGATGGTGTTACCCCTGTTTTCTGTATTGAGAGGCTGAATCTTGGTTACATGGGTGAGGTTATGCACTTGAGTAATAGCTGTGTGTTATCAGGGCATTGGGGTGCTCACAGCGACTAGGCCAGCTGCAGGTCTCGTGCTGACGGGGAGTGATGAGGTGGGGGTGCTGTCTGCAAGCACACTAGTCTCAGGAGTGGTGACTAGGAAATTGGCCAAGTGACCAGTGGGAAGTAGGGAGGGAGCTTTTAAGCGAACGCAGGATGGGGCTGGAGAGAGACAGGGCCCGTGTTGTGTAGGACTGCTATCTTGATCATCCTGCCACAGTGAGAAGAAGGGTTTGGGGTGGTATAAGTGAATGTGGCAGGACTGGCACTGGTGGCTCAGCCTGGCTGGTGACAGTAGAGGTGAGGGAGGAGCGGTGGGCAGAGTTAAATAACTCTGGAAGTGAGGTTAGCAGCTCTTGGTCACACCAGCCTGGGGAGGGGGCCGTGAGAGACTGGGAGTCATGAAGGACTCTCAGGATGGCTTCAGCAGGTGAGACAATGGTGTGGTGCTGGGATCGGGAACACTGGAACAAGTTGTCAGCGCTCGCTGTGTGAGAAGAGCCAAGATGTCAGTAGCTGGGTGTCGGTCCATCTGGGAAGAGGAAGAGGGCAGGGCAGGGGGCAGCTCTGAGTTGCTCTTAGAGGTTTAGGTGTGCAAGGCCTAGGAGGAAGGAATGGGGTTGTCTGAGGAAGTGGTGAGGCCTGGGGATAGGATCCTGTGGAGGTGGTGCACACACAGGTAGAGATCAGAGGAAGGCTGAGCCCTGTGAACAAAGTGGAAGTCCCAGATGCGCCTAAAGTTCATAGGGACATGACTGAAAATTAAGGGGCTCTGGGATCTAAAATCGGGGTGACCACCACAGCAGAAACTATTTGGTGGGGTCGGGGGAGGGCTCTGGATTGGAAAGGATTGAGAAATACTTGAGTAAAACAAGAAGAATGGAAAACAGCAAGTATAGACAATCTTCTTGAGTGTTATGAGACAGAGTCTTTGTTTGGTTAGAGGGCTGGGTGGACATTGATTGTATAGGATCCACAAGGTGGTGTGCCTGGGATTGGGAGTGCCACTGTGGGGCAAGTGGAAGATGAGCCATTCTTCTGGGATCAGAGTCTGGGCCGGGGTGGGGCTGGGGTGAGTGGCGGGGGCCCAGCTGTGTGCATTGGAGGGGGAGAGTGCCCTCGTGGAGTCCTGACTCGGTCAGGGACTTGGCAGGTCTGACTGTAGTTCTGTGCTGTTTCACTTCGCTTACTCTACTGCCCTCTGGTTTTAGGAATGTGCAGTTTGGTTTAGGAAGACTGGTAGTTCATTGTGGGGACTCGGGTAGGTTGTGTTCAGGGGATAAGACAAGTGCTTGGGAAAGGCTGCCTCGCAGCGAGGTGGTGAACAGTGACGCAGAGTGTCCGGTTGAGTCTTGAAGAATTCCAGGAAGGTGACGAGAGAGGATGGTCCTGGCAAGGGGGGTAGCACCTGCAGATGCGTCCAGGGCTAGAGAAGGGTATATGGGAACAAAGAATTGGGACCAAGAGTTTTTGTTGAGATGTTTGGGGCTCAGTGAATGTTCTAGATTATACCCTCAACATTTATGACTTGGATTCCCCAAAATCAGGAGCATCAATTCTGTGCATTTTTCCCCATTAAAGATATCTTGAGTGGAGAAATTAGAAGCTGCCAAGGTGAGGCTAGGCGAGTTCATGTTTTTTTTTTTTCCAATGGCTGAGTGACTCATTCCTGCACACCAATCTCTTCGACCATGAGATTAACGTCCTGTCAGACCTAGTCACTCTGGACTGGTCAGACACAAATGACAGGCTGGTGGGTGAGGGTCTTGTTTTAACCCTGGAGCTTGGGAGGGACCCTGGGGGCAGGCCGATGTGGCTGTGACCATGTGACTCTTAACTGCTGTCCTGCCTGCTTTCAGACCTGCTTCGGATGTTCTTTGATGCCCTGTATGACGAAGACGTGGTGAAGGAGGAAGCGTTCTACAGCTGGGAGAGTAGCAAGGATCCTGCTGAGCAGCAGGGCAAGGGCGTGGCCCTTAAATCTGTCACAGCCTTCTTCAAGTGGCTTCGTGAGGCGGAGGAGGAGGAATCCGACCACAACTGAGGGCGGGTGGGGCCGGGGACTTGGAGCCCCATGGACACGCGGATGGCTCTGCCCGCTGCCTGGACTGCAGGGGGGCGGCAGCGGTGGCAGCAGTGGCAGTGGGTGCCTGTAGTGCGATGTGTCTGAGCTAATAAAGTGGCTGAAGAGGCAGGATGGCTTGGGGCTGCCTGGGGCCCCCCTCCAGGATGCTGCCAGGAGGTGTCCCTCTCCTCCCCCTGGGGCACAGAGATATATTATATATAAAGTCTTGAAATTTGGTGTGTCTTGGGGGGGGGCCACCACCGCCTGCCCCTGGGGTCCTTTTTTATTTTCTGAAAATCACTCTTGGGACTGCCGTCCTCGCTGCTGGGGGCATATGCCCCAGCCCCTGCACCACCCCTGCTGCTGCCTGGGCAGGGGGAGGGGGGGCACGGTGCCTGTAATTATTAAACATGAATTCAATTAAGCTCACTGCCTCTCTGCTTTATGGCCTTCTCCCTCTGGAGAAGGGGTATGGATACGTGGGCATCCCCCCCTTTCCAGAGCTGGCACTGTAGCACTGTTCCCTCTAACCTGGCACCCCTCCTTCTCTTCCCCTGTCCATGATCGTGGGGATTTTGGGAGCCACTTTTCTGGAAGGTGGGAACCTCAGGTATGCACAATGGGGTGGCCCCTTGGTCAGGAGCGGAGTTGGCAGACAGCTGTGAAGTAATTGACATTCTTGGGGTGTTTGCTGTCTTACCTGATCCAGGACCTTAAGTATTGAAAAGGCTGTAGGCTTCAGGCTGGTTCTAGCTAAGAGAAGTCCTTTATGGCTTCAAGATGTCACTTGTGAAATGAGGGGGCTGGATGCAGTTCAGTGTTCAGTCCCTGTGTAGAGTGGGCACGAGCCCATTTGAGTTTCCACCTGCTCTGCCTCCCAGATGGCTCCTCAGTGGCCAGGGAGCAGACAGGCATTTTCCAAACTAGACTTCCTCTGCGTGGCCGTGACGTTAGCCTGGCCCCGCCTGTTCTGGGGTGGTGACGCGGGGCGGCCACGCCCCCGCGCTTACGTCACCGGCCCGGTTCCCTCTCCCGGGAGCGGCGGCGGACGCGCGGCTCCCACCCCCTCCCCTCTCACGGGCTGTCCCCTCCCTGGTGTCGGCCGCGGCCCGACCCTGCAAGGCGATGGCCCGGGCCCCGAGCGTGGGTTAGCGTGTCTGGGTGCCCGGCCATGGGCTGTATCGGCTCTCGGAGCCCCGCGGGTCAGGGTAAGAGGCGGAGGCCGGGCACAGTTGGGGAGTCGCGCTGCGGTCGCCTGGTGCGCGGGCCTTGGGTGGGTGGGGGCCTTGGGGAAGGGGCCGGTGTCGCGAGAGGGAGGAGCCAGTACCGGGGAGGCGGGCCAGGCAACGGGATGGAGTGGGAATGAGAGGGGAGGGGGCTAAGCCGACTCGGGTTCACTCCCATGGCCTTGCCTGCTTCTGGGCTTTGCAGGGCGGTCCCGTGGTCTCACCGCCGTGTTCCTGCTGCTGAGGGTGGCGGGAGACGCACAGCCTTGGGAGGGGCTAGTCAAACTGATGCCGTCCCCCTCCCCCCCAAACCCATGGTGAGCGGCCTTGCATGCCCACACACTCACTCCCCTTTGCCTTGGCATCTCTTCTCCCACCTGGGAGTGGCCCTGTGCCAGCAGCCTACCTCTCCCCAACTGTGGCTCCGTCCTCTTCAGGAGGAGGCCCACAGACACTGGCCAAAGCGCCCAATCCCCATGTCCTGCCAACACTTGGTTCCTCCTCAAGAGCCAGCTGGTTACCAGGGTACTGAGGCCCCATGCAGAGCACCTGTGAGCACCTGCTCACCTCTTCCCCAGCCCTGGCAAGAACAAACCACCCTACCCTGTGGAGGGAGGGAAGGAGGAGTCCAGAGCGAGGCCAGTCAGGGCTTCCTTCCTGTAACTGCTGACCCCTGCTTGGGCCTTGGTTCCCTTGGATGGTGATGCTGACTGGGGCCTGTACTCAGTCCCAGATTGCTCGGCTCACAGATTTCTTCCAGCCTAAGGCCACGGAGGGATTTGTGGTGTCAAAGACTGGGTTTGGAGTGGGTCCTGGACTGTCAGGGCAGGTGGTCAGCCCCAGGCCTTGCTGTGGTTGCTACCTGAGGTTCTTTGGAGCTAAGACTGGTTGAGATTTGTACTTCCCTTGAGGAATTCTGGGATTTGTAGTCCTAAGTTAACCTTGTGGCTTTTGAAGTTGAGAAGCAGCAGGCTGCTCTGATCCCTCTAGCCTGCCAAGGCTTGGAGTTCAGGAAGTCATGCCCTCCTGTAGTCAGTGGAGAGGTTGGCTGACCCCAGAACTGGCCTGAACAGCTCTGATTAGATGGCCTGTAACCTCCTGTCTTCCTTCCGGTTGGTAGCATTTCTGGGGACCACCAGCTGGCTGAGGCTCAGGGACAGAGACGGCCGCTCCAGCTAAAGGTCAGTCTTGATGTACATTGCCTGTTGGCACTGTCTAGGGGACGGGCCTCAGTTCGCCAAGCCCCAGAGAGCTCTGCTGGGCCCCTGGCACTCCCACCTCCTCAAAGCCATGAGGCGGGAGTGTTCTCCTTATGTGACTAGGCACAAGTTCCAAGTGGGGAGGGGACTGGCTCAGCATCCGGAGCCAAAACAGGAATAGAACTGGGAGCTGAGCCTGGAGCAGTTCTGGGCTTTCGGTTCTCCGCATCAACACAGCCAGCATGCCTATGATTTCTGTGCTGGGCAAAATGTTTCTGTGGCAGCGCGAAGGGCCCGGAGGACGATGGACTTGTCAGACAAGTCGCAGAGGTGAGACCAGGGACCGCAGATGTGATCTGGGAGGTGGCGGGCAGCTGAGAATTAGGGTGCTCAGGTGGCAAGAGGAAAATTACTCTGGTTTAGATACTAGCCCGCAACAGAAGGGACCAAGCTGGGGCCAGAGGGCATCAGGAGACTTTCGGGGACAGGGGTGAAGATCAGAAAGAAGAGTAAGGAACTGGGGACCAGCTGAGGCTGGCAAGAGGGAAGAAGCAATGCTGCAAGCTTGTGAGGGGTCAGGATGGCTGCGGGGGGTGGTGGTGGTGGTATCGGTGATGGAAAAATTCAATGTGCTGTCCACGAGCAACGGGTAGGCGGAAAAGCTAAACAGTCAGAATTTCATCAACGTTGGAGTTTCACCTACAGTCCTGACTGCAAAATCTTTGTGGTGGAGGAACATAGCCATTGAGTGGGCTGCCACAAAACGGTCCCCCGCGGTGGCCAGCCCTGGCCAGGGTCGACCTGCCGCAAAGGGGCTTTCAGAGTTGAGGGGCAACAACCAGGTGGTCGCTCTGTTCTGGGAGGTTGGGGAGAAGCAACCGGGCAGCACTGGATGGAAGCGAGGACCTTGGCGGGCACAGGGGCCCAGCTGAACAGTCTCTTCCCCTACCCCTCAGTGGCCTCGGACCCTGCGTGGGCTGTGGAGTGGATCGAACTTCCTCGGGGCCTCTCTCTCTCCTCCTTGGGATCTGCTCGGACCCTCCGAGGCTGGAGTCGGTCCTCCCGCCCTTCCTCCGTGGACAGCCAGGACTTGCCAGAGGTGCTGGGCCCCCCACCCCCACCATGTTGGCGGGGGGCGGGGAGGGGAGGCCACATCCATATGAAGGGGAGCTGTGTCCTCCACCCCCGCCTCGCCAGCCTGCTCCGGGCTCCCTGTTCCTGCGAGCGGAGGCGCTATCCGGCCGGTGGGGCCGCAAGGCCGCCCCCGCGCCGGTCTGCTTCGCTCGGCGCTGTGCCAGCAGGCGGGCTCGCTCACGCCTTCGGCGCTGACGTCAGCGCATCCCGGGCCGTATCCCGGGAGACCCTGTTGCATGGTGATGGGTTGCCAGGGAGACATACACTTTTTCTCTGGGCCAGAGCCACAGCTGCGCGAAGCTGCGCGGGCACGGATGGCGGCGTCTGGGGGGAGTGGGGGGGGAGAGGCAGGGCGAGTCAGGAAACACCCAGCAGGGGCTCCTCCCCCCGGCCTGGCTGGCGGCTACCGGCGCCACCCCGGGGGGCCTCTGCGGCCAGGTACTGAAGGGGCGGGGCAGAGGGTGGGCCTGGGGTCCCGGGCAGGTGGAGGCTGGCTTTTGAGGGGTGGGGACGGGACAGGAAAGCTAGGCAGTGCCTCGGCTTCCTTGAGGGAGGGGCAGCCTTGGCTGGAGCTGGTCAAGAGGCACTGAGCCAGGTGCAGGGTGGAGCTTTGGGCGGTCCACTGGACCCTGCCATCCTGAGCTCCCTCAGGAGGAATAGATACAAGGGCGATGCCGGGGAGGAGGTGCTAGGGAAGAGAAGGCGATGGTGAGCTGAAAGTGAGGATCCCTGGAGCCGGCGCTTGGGGCAGGCCTCGCAAGCAGGCAGCGTTTTGGCAGGCAGGGTGGCATTCTTGGCCCAGAGGGAGGCCGAGGGAAGGGAGGTGCAGAGGTGGGGGCCGTATGGGGCAGAGCCGATCAAGGAGGTCTGAGGGAGGCCCGAAGGAGGCAGGGCCTTCACCGAGGGGGGCCTTCTGTGCCTGGGTCAGAAGCCTGTGCCAACCTCAGAGGACAGTGGAGGAGCCCAGGAAAGATAGTTGAAAGCCACGCTGTGGTCAGCTGCACTTCAGGAGAGTTATTTGCTTCCGCCGCTGCCTCGCCTCATTCGGCTTGTGCATCTGGGGAGATTTCCTCTGTATGAGATGCTGTGCTAAACACTGGGGTGCAGCAGTGACCACAACACAGCAGATGCCTTGGAGAGCTCGAGACCAGTGTGGGATACCAGGGAAGAGCAGGAAACACACAAAAGTGACCATAGTTGCACACTGAGATTCAGGGCCGGAACGGGGTCCATTCACAGAGACAGAGGGTGGAGCACTGATGGGGCCCGGGGAGCCTCCTCTGAGGGGAAATGCCTCACCCCTCGCTGGAGTGATACGGAAGAGCTAGCCAGCCATGCCGAGAGAGAGAGGAAATGCTGAGTTGGGGAGGTTGAGCGCCCACCCCTGCTGCTCCGGGCAGGGGACACTGAGGGCTGGAGAACCGGCAGTGGCAGTGGGAGCAGTAGCAGAGGCAGTGTGGGGATCACTAGGTGTAGCCACAGATTTGGGCAAGGACAGCTTAGGGGAGAGTGGATGGTGATGCTGAGGCTTGGGGCTGAGCTGGATGCGAGAAGCTTGGGCGATACAAAGTAGGAAGTGGGGAAGCAGGCAGGAGTGGAGTGGGGGGGTTGGGTTTGAGCTTGGTCATGCTCAGTTTGTGGCTCCTGTGGGTGCTCTAGGAACAGCTAGAATGTGGGGCTGGAGACTGAGAAGGGGAGAGAAGCGGATGGAAGGGACCTTAAGAAGTCCTCGGTGGCATGCGTTTCTCCCTTCCTCCGCTCTGCCTTACCCTCAGGGAGGGGGCTGCTGGAGGCTTGACCGCACTTCTGCCCCTTTGGGACTTCCTCAGTTTCCCTTGCTCCCTGGTTTGGTGGTTCTAGCTTCTTGTCCTCTTACTGGTTCTAGCAGTTTCTCTAGGACATCTCTGCTGTCCCGGCATCTCTTCCCAGCTCTCATCTGCCCCGACACCCTGGGTGGATTTTGGATGTGGGGGTGGGGGCACCGTAGAGAGGTGCTGACCTTCTCTCACGGCGTCACATAAGGTGAATGTTGGAGACACAGTCGCGATGCTGCCCAAGTCCCGGAGAGCCCTCACGATCCAGGAGATTGCTGCGCTGGCCAGATCTTCTCTGCATGGTATGCACCTGCCTCCCGTGCCCCCTGGGGCTGTGCTGGGAGTGCTTGCTGGAGTCTCCCTTTCCCGCCCCTTGCCCCCCACAACTACCACCCTTCCATTCCCCTGCCCAGGCACGCTCTGGCCCGGGCCCTCACCAGGCTTCTCTCTCACCGCACCTCCAGGCATTTCCCAGGTGGTGAAGGATCACGTGACTAAGCCTACCGCCATGGCCCAGGGCCGAGTGGCTCACCTCATTGAGTGGAAGGGCTGGAGCAAGCCAAATGACTCACCTGCTGCGCTGGAATCGGCCTTTTCCTCTTACTCGGACCTCAGCGAGGGTGAACAAGAGGCTCGCTTCGCAGCAGGTAGGTGGCGAGAGAAGGGGGCCAACCATACACTTGTCTTAGGGCTGCTCTCGCTCGTCCCCTTGGGTCCTGCACGGGGCCCGGAGTCTCCTAGCTCACCCTCTCTGCTCGGGAATCCTGTGCCCCCTGACAGGAGTGGCTGAGCAATTTGCCATCGCAGAAGCCAAGCTCCGGGCATGGTCTTCGGTGGATGGCGAGGACTCCACTGATGACTCCTATGATGAGGATTTTGCTGGGGGAACTGACACAGGTAAGAGACAGCGCATGCTCATGCTGCCACGTGGGCCTTGTGAATCATTCAGAGCCATACCCAGAATGCCTGAAGTCCACGTCCAGGCCCTCTTGGCATCGCCGGGGCTTAGGAGGGCTGTCCACACTCATGGCCGAGAGCTCAGCACTTGGCAGTAGAATGGCTCCTGTGCTACAGTGCTGAGCCTTCTCTGCCTCTGTGTGTGTGGACTTCACAGTCCTCAAGGGGAAAAAAAAGCTGCCCTGAGATTTCAGCCATCCGTTCCGGGCGGCCACGTCCTTGGGAGGGTCTGCCCTGGCCCTCTCCTCCAAGGGGCGGCCTTCTGGCTGGCTGTGGCGGGACAGATGAGCCGCTGTGCAGCCGCACAGCACCGCGCAGGGCTGCGGCCCCAAGCAAACAGGAAGACATGCTGGGCCTGGAACCACCCACAGGGCCCGGCTGGCTCCAGCTCAGCATCCTTGCATTCCAGTCTGTGGGCCTTTCTGTGGGCCAGCGTTTGCAGAGAGGGCCCCCGCAGGGGCTGTGCGGCTGGGCTCGGCCTCCTGTCATCCCCCAGCCCCTGGACCGCAGGTCCGACTTCCTCTGTCGCTTCTGGGCTCCACTCCTCCCCCTTGAAGATTGCCCCCCAGCAGCTTCCATTCTTCCAGCTAAATAGCCATTTCTCTAATGTGGGGAATAAGCGGGGTCAGGCCAGAGACTGCTGCTGTGGTCCCGAGGCCAAGATGGAACCCTATACTACGAGCGCTTTTGTTTGATGGAGTTCCAGGCCTGCTCTGACCCCCTGGGAGAATGAGAATAGCTAACATTTATCCAAGGCCGCTACTAGCGCATGTGGAATCTCTGTGTAAATTCTAAGCGGGCACCTCTCTCCCTGGCCGTGCTGCTTGGTGAGCAGAGAGTGGGCTGGGTTTCAGCCCTCGCTCCCTGCCTTGGACAAGGCTCCCCTTGGGGAGTGCAGTGGCCTTGCGGTTGTTGACTGTGGACTGCAGGCCCGCCTTGTTTGCCAAGCAACTCCGTGAGATTATTAGAATCTCCGCTTCACCATTAGGGAAACTGAGCATCAGACAGCTGTGACTTGCCCAGGGCTACCTTGCTCCTGTTCACTGCCCCCAGTGCTCTGGCAGGGATGGAGGGCAGTGGGCTCCAAGGAGGCCAATTGGAGTGGCAGCAGCAGGGCTGTCTTCTTTTCTCTCCCCTTCGCAGACTTGGCTGGGCAGCTGCCCTTTGGACCCCACCTCCAGGACCTCTTCACTGGCCGCCGATTCTCCCGGCCCGTGCGTCAGGGCTCTGTGGAGCCCGAGAGCGACTGCTCGCAGACCGTGTCCCCGGACACGCTGTGCTCTAGTCTGTGCAGCCTAGAGGACGGCTTGCTGGGCTCCCCGGCCCGGCTGGCCTCCCAGCTGCTGGGCGACGAGCTACTCCTTGCCAAACTGCCCCCCAGCCGGGAAAGTGCCTTCCGCAGCCTGGGCCCGTTGGAGGCCCAGGACTCGCTCTACAACTCGCCCCTCACGGAGTCCTGCCTTTCTCCCGCCGAGGAGGAGCCAGACCCCTACAAGGACTGCCAGCCGCTCTGCCCCCCGCCGGCGGGCAGCTGGGAACGGCAGCGGCAAGCCTCTGATGTGGCCTCCTCCGGGGTGGTGTCCTTAGACGAGGATGAGGCAGAGCCGGAGGAACAGTGACCCGAATCGCACCGGGTGGTGGCCCGGGGCCCCTGGCCACTGCTAGGGGCAGAGCCTCCATGTCCAGCTGTGGGCTCGGGGCTCTCAGCGGCTCTGCAGCCCAGAGAGCTCCCGGGAGCACTCACTTCTCCGTTGTGTGTTTTGCATGAAAGTGTTTGGAGAGGCGGCAAGGGCCAGGCTGGGGGCGCATGTCCTGCCCCCACTCCTGGGGTTTGCCGGGGGTTGCCCGGGGCCCCTGGGGCATGGCTACAGCTGTGGCACACAGTGATGTACATGTCCTTAAGTCAAAAACGCCACACACACATTTCCTCCTCGGATGATGTGAACCCCTAAGGGGCTTATTGTGACTGGGCTGTGTGGGGGTGGAGTGGGAGGGAGCCTGGCCACCTCCGCCACTGTCCCTGTGCCTCTCTCTTCTCTGCTTCTCACCTCCGAGTCCATGTGCAGTGCTTGATAGAATCACCCCACCCCGGGGGACTGGCTCCTGCCCTGCCAGAGCAGGGAGCAGGGACTGAGCCGTCCCCCAGGGCCCCTCGCCCAGCTGGGCTCCTGCCGTGCTTCCCCCTCCATCGGCTCTAAATCGTTTTTCCCAGAAGACAGGGTTCTGGGTCTGTTCTTTCCGTGGGATCTTCTCGGGGAGGCGTTGGATGAGGAACAAATGCATGTGTCCTCCGCCCTTCTCCTGGCTTCCCCCGGTGGGCCTGGGCCCTCTCCCAGTTGCTCCTGGGATGTGCGAGCACGGCTTGCAGCAGTGTTATCTACAGGGTGGAGCTGGAGGCAGGGATGGCTCTGGTTGATGCAGAGCTGTGGCTTCCGTGTCCTTCCAGGGAGGGCCACAAGGAGGCCTCAGGGGTGGCCAGGCCATCATTGGCAGATGACCGCGGGGCTGGAATTGTGCCAGCTGAGTGACTCTCCTTGGGGAGGGAAGGGGGTAGTGCCTTCCTTGGCTTTGGCAAAGGCCAAAGCTATGGTCTTGGGGGCTCCCTCCCCAGCCAAGGTGTTTATGACCAAGCAGTGGCAGATTTGGCATTCCAAGGACACCGGACTCTGGATTCTTATGGCTATGGGGAGGGGGCCAGCTGCAGAATGAGGAGCCTTGTAGACACTGGCAGGTAAGAGGGCCCATGGTAAGAACAAGAGCCAGCGGGCACAAGCATTCTATATATAAGTGGCTCATTAGGTGTTTATTTTGTTCTATTTAAGAATTTGTTTTATTAAATTAATATAAAAATCTTTGTAAATCTCTATATACATCTGGTCATTGGAGGTTCCAGTATAAACCCATCTTAGTTCTATCCCTTTCCCCTCAACGGGGTAGCGGGGGTCAAGTGACCCCACCCCCATGCTACCAGGGCAGTGCTGATCTTGCCCTTGGGACACCTGCTGCAGGAGGTGCTGGGTCAGTTTCCAGGCAGGATGAGCTCTGGGAGACGTTGGCAGGCCGGGTCTGGAGGTGGGGCTGGGGCTGCGGCTGTCTTCTGCTTTCCCAGGGCAGGAGGCGGCATGGGAGAGCTATATAATCTGGCCTGACAGCCACAGCCCACGCAGGGGCTCATTGGCACTTGTCGTCGCTGTCGGAAGGACTGCCCTCCCGGGGGAGGCCGTGGCGGGAGCGGGGCCCCCAAAGCGCGTGCACCTCGGTGGTCTCTGTGTCACTGCTGCTGGTAGCACTGTCTCGGAAGCTGGCGAGGGGCGGCCGGACCTTCACACCCTGTGCTGTGACAGAGCCCTCAATGGCCTTCCGGAGCTGCAGAGGTGAGAGGGGCAGGTGTCTGGACATAGGACTCCCAGCTTCTTCCCCGGCACTCCCCCTAGGTGAGCTGGGCATAAGCTCTCCTGCCTTTTATTTTTTTGGAAGTGGCTTCCAAGGCCACTGTCTTCTCACCTCCTTTAGCGTAACGATTCCAATGAGCCTGCCGATGCTGGTGACGTATGCGTGGTCCACTCCCAGCAGCGAGAAGATGGTATGAGTCTGTGGAGGAGGGAGAAAGCGCAATGGGCTCGATGTGGCCAGGCAGCGATCCGTTCCAGGGGGCTCAGGACTAGGTGGGGGGGTGGGACAGAAGGGGCACCACAGATGGCAGAGGAGGGGACAGGACTGCTGGAGGGAAAATAATAAGAATGCTTCTGTGTCCCCCGGCCTCAGAAACGTGATAGAATCCTTGTGTTGATGAGACAGAGGAATCTTCCCGGCATGTTAGAAGGATGCAGTTGAGAGCGCTTGCTCAAATATGAAATCTAATGCCTGGCCGGGCTCCGTGCTAGGTCTCACATTATTCAGTTTCAGCACTGTCTTGAATAGGGACACCGACTCGACAGGAACAGCAGCATAGGTACAGCCATTCTACAGGAACAGCAGCATGAGGCTCAGTGGTAAAGTGGCTTGCTCTGGGGTTCTGGGTGGGTCGTCAGCTCTGCCCAGCCCTCTCCTGCAGGTGCCCCCTTAGGCATAGGTAGACCCAGGAGCAAGTTCCTACCCCCCACTTCCTACCAATGGCCCTCATGGATGACACCTGCTTCCCATCTGCCCTCTAGCTAGCTGGCCACTTCCGCTATCTCCTCTCCTTGGTTGTATTTAACACCGTGGGCTTGGCTGGCCTGAAGTGTGCGCTCGCTCGCTCTGTTTGCCTCTTCTGGAGCCCTAGCAGCACCCTGGGGCCTGTGTGTGTGTGTGTGTGTGTGTGTGCGCGGGGCTGCAGCTTACAGGCCAGTCATCCCCCTCCCCATGTTTTTCTTGCTGTGGGCCCTCTAGCTTTCCAGTGTAATCACTGAGGGCTCAGAAGTTGTCAGCCAGTTCCCCTTGCTCTCAGAGTGGATTTTCTTGGGCCAGATGTCTTGAAAAATACTGTCCTGACTCAGCAGTTCCTGGAATTTTTGGCCGATCATGATCACTCTGCTCTGAGTTTGCTTGTAAGCCTCTCAGCTTAATATGTGAATCAAGATGAGCAGTAATAATCCCGGTTCTTGAGTACCAGTTACTCAAAACTCATTTTAATACTTTGGAATTCTTAGGAAGGGATTTCTAGCACTTTCCTCAGGTTCTCCATCCAAGGCATGAAAGTACTTATAAGAAGGAACAAGAAGTTCAGTTTGAGAATAAGCTGTGTTCCTTCAATATCTGTAACAGAATGACCACGTGGTTAGCCAAGTTGCTCCTCATATGCAGCTTGAATCCTACACGCTACAGCTTAACATTCATTTCCCAACTTGTCCAACTTCAGGGAGAAATGTCTTTATTATGAGGTTTCCCATTAAAAAAAATCCCTTAGCTTTGCCTCCTGGCAGTCAAATAATCCCTTCCATCTTCTCCCAAGGAACCTCCCAAGTAGTTCCCTTGGAAATTCTTTTTCTCCACAATCTTAATCACGGCGAGTTTCTGGCAGGTGATTTGCCTTTTAGGTAATAAACCCCTTGTCCCTAGCAGTCACCAAGCCGTCCCAGTCTGTTTCAGAACGTGCGGGCTGTTTTCCTACACTTGCAGTTCCCTCAGGACGGGGGCTTCAGCCTGTTCTGGAAACCCCCCATCACGTTACCCGTCAGCCGTTCGTTACGCCGCCTCCGCGAGTGGCCCTTGGTCCTCCCTCAGGACGCGGGGTGGCCGTCACTCCTGACACCAGCTGGGGGCTGACTGCGTGCCAGGCACGACTCTTAAGTGCTTCACATGTTTCAGGTTCCCTAATCCTCACAAAATCCCGAGGTGTGATCCCATTGTTGAGATACAGCAAGAGACGTGCAGAGACTAGGACATGTGCCAAGGTTACCTAGTCAACTGGCACGCGGCAGAGGCAGGGTTTGGGTTCAGATGCTGTGGCCGTGGCCTCTGCGTGGGTAGCCGCTGCATGGACGAAGCATGGGGCTGATGCACAGGTCCCTGAACGGCGCCCGTGCAGCCCGTCTCCTCTCTGAATGGGCTGCTGCTTGGTGATGGCTCAGGCCAGCAAGGACATTCTGAATTCTAATCTTTCATGTTCTGATCACTTCCAGTTCTTGGTGCTTTCCTTGGTGGGTTCCTTAAAGGCTTCGTCTCTTCCTCTGATTTTTAGGCTTGTTACAAACAGTGACTTTGTTCTTTTTCATCTTAATTTAATTAGACACCAGATTGCCTCATTGGAAGGCCAGGGCCTGGGCTTGGGAACAGTGAGCTGACCGGGAAAGGGACAACATGGCCTTCTCAAAGCATCCTGGGAGCGGAGCCAGGAACTCAGAAATCTGGGCCTGACCGCTATCCTGACTTGGGCAAATGGCGTCCTCACTGCACGCCTCAGTTTCCCCATATGTAAAGTGGTTAAGACCTCTCTCTCACTAACTCTGCCTGTCCAAAAAAAAAAAAAAAAAAAGACCTTCACGTGTCGGGGCAGATCATCTAGGCTCCCAGGCCCAGTTCTGCTGGTGCAATCTGGCGCAGCTTCTTAACTCTATCCATTTCCTCATCACTAAGAGCTGGAATATCACAATGTCCATCTTCTCCTTGTGCGCTTGTGAGCCTTAAGTCAAACACGTGAGTAGCAAAGTGCCCGGCACCTCAGGAGCATGCAACAAACATCAGCATTGCCGCCTTGCGCATCGCCCCGGGGGAGGCTGGAGGATGAAGTGAGACGGCGGGTTGCAGTGGACATGCATTTAGCAGTCCTGGGAAGAAGGACTCTCAATACCAGCCCAGCGTGTGCGGCTCCATTTTTCCTGCACCTGCACTGTGGTTCCGTGCTTGTTTTGATCTGAAGTCTCCATCGAAGGCCTATAAAGTCCTTGTCACTACCTGCTTTTTTATGTCATTTTTGTCCTTCCTGCCTGACTTCACTCTGCCGGCTTGGGCACAGCTCGTGTCTCAACCCGACGCGGCTCAGCACCTGGCTTTCAGAGTGTTTCCCTGCCGCCTGCCTCCTGCTTCTCGGTGGAGGTTTGCACCTTGAGATTGCCCAACATTTAGCTAAGACCCCCCTTGGCTTTGCCGGTCCCAGGAGCCGTCCTGCCAGCCTGCCGGGCTGTCCCGCATTTGCCGCCTTCCCCTGAAGCTTGCCCTCCACACCCTGCAGGTGCCTCTGCCCTGGAAGCAGCCCTCCACAGAGAACCCGACTTCCCTGGTGCCTGCCTCACCCACCGCTGACCTGGCTGGCCTCACTTCCTCTCCCTTCCTGGAGCCCGTTTTGCCCTTCTGCTGAGCTATCTGCCTTTGTTCCTATCAGTTTTTCTTGGGCCCACATGAAGTTGAAACTTTCTGGGGTCTGACATTCCAACCCCCTACTGGGTGTTTCTCATCTTTGTTTATCTCTTCCCTGCAGTCTCCCCACCCTGCCTGCATGTTGGTTAGCTTGTTTATTGGATTTTCCTATCCTGCCCATTTCTCACCCATTTCTTTCAGCGTGGGCAACTCGGACTGGCTGGGCGCTGGCAGCCTCCCGCCTCGCTCTGACCCTGGCCCGGCCTTCTGGCATGCACCCAGCTCCAGCCCTGGCTTTGTTGCTGCTTTGGTCCAGAGTTCCCAGGGGGGCCAGGCTGAACAGGGGGAAAAAAAGGATGCCTGGCTCCAGCACAGAGCAGGATGAGGCTAAGGGGTCCTGGCTCGCAGCCTCCTGGCCTTCAAAGTACTGTGTCTGAAAAACATCTCTGCAAAGGCAAAGAGCCATTCTCTCGATCTCCTTCCTCCCTTCCCTACTGGCCTGAGTCCAAGGTTGTCGGGGGACCCGGATCCCCGCTCTGTCCTCCCAAGAGCCCAGGCCAGCCACCGGCCATGCTGCTGGCCCTACCTTGTGCAAAGAGGTCCTCTCCACCAGCTGGAAGGGAGCAGGGTCAATCTTGCAGTCACTGAAGTTCACAGGTTCATCTAGCTGCTGCTCCTCCCACTCCAGAATCTGGGGGAAGAGACCACACGTGGGAAGGAGCAGGTGCCCACGGCTGCTTCCTTACCCGAAAGCTGGCCTGCCCTTTTTCCTCCTTCTGGTCCCTCCCATGGGGACAGCAGCCAAGGTGATGACTGAACACACCCAGGGAGAAGCAGGGTCCAGAGTCCAGCTGTGCCTTACCTCCTCCGGGCTCATTTCACCTTCCAGGTCCGAGTCACTCTAGGACAGAGGGAAGCAAGTGAGCGCGCCCCTGACCTGGGGACCCCAGCCTGGACCCTGGGCCTCCCTGTCCAGTGCTCCTGAGAGGCAGGAAGGGGCGTGCTTACTGCCAGGGAGATTCGGACTCGCTTCGATTTGCGCTTCTCACTGGATTCTGACTTTTCCGACTTGGGTAGAGCCAAAGGGGGGGAGGGTGGAGAGAAAGAGAGAGGAGTTGAGGTTGTAGGGAGGGGGTTGGGGGGAAGTGTGGGTGCCGGGGGAGGGGAGAAGGGAGGCGGGCGCCAGCGATGGCAGGCCGGGAGGAGGCTCACTCACTTCTGACGCGGCCTCTGGAGGGGGACTGCCACAGAAGAGGCTCCTGAGCGCGATGCCGGCCGACTCCACGTGCCCTGTGTTCCCAGACACGGGTGGCCCTGGCAGTGACTCCCTGCTGGGAGAGCCACCACCCCACTTCCACCCCGGGAGCTGGCGAGGCGGGGAGAGGGCTCACCTGTGGGACTCTCCCCGAGGTTCACGGAGTTGCTGCACCCCCTTTTGAGAGCAGGCTTTAGGGGCTTGTGAGGCTCCCCCTGGGCGTCCTCGGCCTTCACCTGCGTGTGGGGAGAGGGGCTGGTGAGGCTGCGGGGGCCCCCAAGCACCCTCTGTACGGCCCTCCCCAGGAAGCCTGTGCGGCCCTGGGGCTTCTCCCTCACCTGGAAGCAGACGGAAGTCTCAGGGCTGGGGGGACTCTCCTGACAGGACGGTGGAGAGGTGTGGGCCACCCTGCGCTTCTGCTTGGACTGCCGCCGGCGGGCCGGGCTCAGCTGGGCAGCCAGCAGCGCCACCACCTGCGTGCGCTCGATGGAACCCAGAAGGATCATAGACTCTGCACAGAGCAGGTGGGGAGGACTCAGGGGCTGCCCACCCCCAAGGGGAATCCTGCCCAGCGAGTGCCGGCCCATTCCCTTACGGGCCCCGAGCTCCCTGCCCCTTCCTGAGCAGCGATGCTGGGAGATGCCCCTAGCACCTGGGCCCCCTCCTGGCCTCACCAGGAGACTCCACCAGGGCCAGCGTGCGGCCCTTGGTCCTGTGCAGTGCCAGCCGCAGGTCCCGGAAGGTGCAGCTGAGCGCCACGTGGGGAACATCCCGCACCATGATGTCTTCCACTCGCACGCGGTACTGCCTGCAGGCAGAGAAGGGCACAGGATCTATGGTCAGCAAAAGGACAGCGGCCCGGAACACTCCCATCCCAGCACTATAGGAGATCCCAGGGCCCAGGGGGACGGGTGCTAAGGGCCGGGGTCAGGGAGTGCTCCCGCTCTTTTTCCTGATCGGCCGCAGGTGGTACAAAGAGGTTGCTCGGCTGCCTTGACAGGGGACCCCAGCAGGCCTTCTGCCCCTCACTCACACCCCCCTCCCCGGCACCCAGCCCTGCATACTGGTGGCGGCCCCAGCCCAGCTCAGGCAGATAGGGGAGCTTCTTGATTCGGATGATGCTGTCGTAGAGGGAGGGCTGCAGGCTCTGCGCAACGGCGTTAGCCAGGATGACAGCGATCATGACGGGCAGGATATGGGCGATCTGGCCCGTGAGCTCGAACACGATCACGGCCGTGGACACTGTGTGGGTCACCGCTCCTGCCAGAGCAGCCGCCCCTGCGGACAGCCACCTTCAGTTACCTCAAGGTGCCCAGGAGGCCCCAAAAGACCCTCCCCACCACAGGCAGACCTAGGGGTGGGGGTGTGGGTCCCTGAGGGCTAGCTAGTACCCTCCTGGGGATGGCGTGCCAGCATCTGCGGTAAGTCTGGCTTTGGCCAGCAGGGGGCACCAGAGGCCCAGCCCCGGTGGTCCAGCCAGGTCGTGCAAGGCAGCCGCAGTTCCAGGCACTCACCCACCACAGCATAGCCCCCGGGCACGATCCTGTAAGTACTGCTGTCTGTGTGAATCCCGTCGGGGAACCAGGCAGCCATGCTCTCTCCCACCAGTCGCCCAAATGCTGCTCCTTCAAGGAGGGGGGTGGGAAGAGAAAGAGGTGGTGGAGGGGGAGGGCAGGGGCACTAGGAAGAGAGAGGGTCAAAAGGGTGGGGGAGGGGCCAGTGGGTCATTCAGTGCAGGGGACAACCCTAGGGGCTGGGGGTTTGGGCTAGGGCTGGACCAAAACCCACTCCTGGGCAGAGAGGGGGCGGTGGGGGCTGCAAAGTGGGAGTGCGGGCAGCCAAAAACTCACCAATGACGAACACAGGCATGAAGGCCCCACAGGGCACTGGGATGGTGGTGGCCAGCGCGGACATCCAGAACTGCAGGGCAGCACAGGGTCAGCAGGACGCCTCCCAGGGCTCTACCTCGCTGTTGAGGTCCGCACATGCTTCTCAGCTAGCCCAGGACCCTCCCCAGGTGCAGGGTGGTGAGGGACTCGAATCGCAAGGCTTGGGTTCAAGTTCTCACTCTACTGACTAGCTGTGCGATGTTTTTGTGTTTTTATAGATTGTGACATTGTATGCCTTTTTAAAAACAGTGTTAGTTGGGGGGTAAAGAGAGACAGACCTTTAAATTTTTACTGATTGATTGATAGAGGACAGAGAGAGTTGCCAAATGCCTGTCAGGGCCCCTGGCTAGGGCCAAAGCCCTAGGGGCTCAGTCCAGCCACTAAGGCCATCACCACTGCTTCCTGGGGGAGGGGGGGGGCTGCATTAGTGGGGACTGGAGGCAGGGGTAGAATCCAGGCACCCTGACATGGGAGGTGGGCATCTGGACCCTAGGCTAAATGCCTGCCCCCAGCTGTGTGATGCTGGGCCAACGACTTAACCTCTACTTGCTTCTGCTTCCCATTTGTTAAAATGGGGATCATAACAGCACCATCCTCACAGCATGGCTGGGAGGCCCGGAGGAGTTAACACAGGGCGAGTGCTGGGAGCAGCGCCCGGCAGCTCGCAAGCCTCCGTGGACGCCAGTGACATCAGCGGGGACCTCACCTTCATGAGGATGAAGATGACCAGGGTGAGGAAGACGTTGGCGCGAGGCGGGCTCCAGGCCTGTGAGGTGCTGGGCGGTTCGAGCTCCTCCACCAGGCCCTGGCGGACCCAGGTCCGGTTGTCAAACAGGGTGACCAGTGTTTCCTTCTGTGAGAGCTAAGGTGAGCAGGGTACCTTAGGCTGGGAACAGAGAGGATGTAGAGAAGGGACCCAAAGGAACCCACAGGGAACCAAGCACCCCGCAGTCATGCTGCGGCAGTGTGCGGGCTTTTGAAGGAGAGTGACCCAGGGAACGGGCAAATCCCGGCTCTGCCCGGGGTTACCTGTCCAGCCATGAACTGTCCAAAGCCAGGAGGGAAGGTCAGAGTGGAGATGAGCAGGGTGACCAGGGCTGGGAAGAGCAGGCGTCTGCAGAAGTGGGTGTCACAGCGTCACCCCTGGGTGGCGTGCCTCCCAGGGATGGGCCAGGGTGGGAGCAGGGCCTCGGCACTCACAGGCAAGCACTGGGGCACTGGTGGGCGCACAGGCCTTTCTGTGGCCAGCGATCCCGTTAGTGGGCAGCGAGAGCAGAGCTCCGCGTGGCCAGGCCCTGTCCTGCACACCTCTGAGCTGAGACTGCGTCATGGCTCTCAGAAGGCCCAGCTGAGGGGCGCTGTCCACCTCTCTGTGTGACGCAGGGTGGGGGGAAGCTGGGGTCCCTCATGAAGGTGACCAGAGGTTCGGTTGGCCGCGATGGAAATCAGGTCTCCTGGGGCTGCCAGGTCTCGGCTGTCACTCACTGTCCACCAGCCTACCGAGGCCCTCACCCAACCCTAAGCCACCTGGCCTGGAGCCCGGGACCGACTCACTTTCGCATCAGGAAGCGATTGATGGTCTTCTGCTTCCTCATCACCTGCACGATCTTCCGGTTCAGGTAGACAAAGAGGGCTCCTCCGAAGCCACTAGCGATTCTGGGGACAGAAGAAGTGCCAGGGCAAAAGGGGGTCTTCTCATGGGGAGTGCCCTTCTCTGCAGCACCCCCGGCCCCTAGCGGCCCTCACCCAATCACCGCAAAGGCTGGCAGCTCCTGCAGGTCGAAGGGGAAGTCGAGCCGGAATCGGGTTTTGAAGAGCGCGGTGATGGTCTCTGAAGGGGAGAGAAGCAGCGAGGTGTGGGCCGAGCCCCGGGGGCACCGCGTCGGAGCCATCTTGAGCTCCCATGCTCCCTCAGGAGTTCCCACCTTCATCCCGGTTCCAGACAGCCAAGACCCTGAAGATGAAGGCGCTGAAGGTGGCGGCGAAAAAGCCGCGCCAGTAGTTGCGCACGGCGAAGAAGGTGGAGGTGACCTCAATGCTGAATAGGACGCCTGTGAGGGGGCAGGGGACAGTGCCGCTGGAACCCCGGACCGGCAGGCAGGGGCCCAGGGTGACTGGGGCGGCGCTGCCGGGAGCCCCGCCTACCTCCGATGGGGGCGGCGAAGCAGCAGCCCACGCCCACGGCACAGGCGGCAGCCAGCATCTCTGTGTTCCGAGACTCGTTCTGGCAGGAGCGGGGGCAGCAGGCGGGAGTCAGCCAGAGACTCAGCAGCCACCCCCCCTCCGCCAAACCCCCACCTCCAGGGGCCTCCCTCACCTCATAGATGCCCCCAAAGAGGGAGAGGAACTTGCTGAGAAGGGCGGCGCACATGCTGGCAATATGCACAAAAGGGCCCTGGGGGTGGGGTGGGGTGGGCGGTGAGTTGGAAAGGGGCCTGCCTTGACCTTGGCCCAGCCGCTTCCTCCTCCCTAACCCACTGGGCAGTCACCTCTTTGCCCAGTGGCATCCCACTGCCCAAGGCACAGGTCAGCCCGATGACCTTGGCTACGAAGGTCTTGAGGGTGAGGTATTCTTTCAGCACCACTCCCCGTAAGATGGTTTTCATCTCGGGGATGCCGGACCCTGGAGAGGGCACAGCCCCGGGAGTCACCTGCCGTGTCCGCGTCGGGAGACCCTGCCTCCGTCCTCCCTGTCTGTCTACCCCTCCTGTCGTACCCACAGCCTGAGGGGCCAGGATCTGTGTGAATCCGGCGGAGAAAGTGATGAGGACGACGGGGTAGGTGACCCAGGCCAGGTACTGGAGCAGGAGGTTGGTGTTCAGGCCCCGGGACATCCACTGCTGAGCTGCGGGAAGAGGACGTGTGGCTGGGCCCCCAGTGCACACACCCGCCCCCTTGCCCGGCCACCGGGACACACTGATGGGATGACTTGTGCCCAGGGAAGCTGCACAGAGCCTGTGCACAAGGGGCAGGGACGAGGCCTTCATGGGGACAGAGCCCAGGCCAGGGAAGAGGGTCTGTGGGAGAGGGGAGACAGAAGGGTGTGGTCTAGGGGAGGGGGGCGGCGGTGATCATGCCTGAAGATGGGCAGCCAGGCTGGCGGGACAGAGTGGATGAATGCGACCCGGAGGGGGCAGGCGAGTCCCTTGGCCTCACCCTGCAGACAGGCAGCGATGGCGTAATCCATGGCCCAGCTGACCAGCGCCATGAGGAGCCCCAGCAGGACCAGGAAGATCCAGTCTTCACCAACCCTGGACACCAGGAACTTGTGGCAGCGCACAGAGCACACTGGCAGCAGGAAGGGAAGAGCAATGAGGAGGCTGCACCGCCTCCTCTCTCCCCAACGGGAGCTCTGAGGGTCTCCAGCCCCCTCAGCGCTGCACAGCCAGGCCCTCTACCCAACCCTGAGCACTGCATAGCCAGGCCCTCTACCCAACCCTGAGCACTGCACAGCCAGGCCCCCTACCCAACCCAGCGCTCACTGCGGCATCGGGCACAGCGGCTCTGTCCATATTCCAGGAGCTCTGGGGGAGTCCGAGGGGAGGGCGGGCTCCTCCAGGGCTCAGGCCCTCCCAGGCGAATGCGAGCGGCTTCCTCTTTGGCAAAGGCCCCAAGGTCCTGGGTGTAACGGCCATACATCTAGAGCATGGTGGGGGGAGATGGGGGCGTCGGTGGTACGGGCCAAGTGGGGGATGCCCTTTCCCCAGGCCACCACGAGATGCCCTCTCCTGAACCCCCAGTTCCCGTTCTGGCTCGGGGTGTGGGAACAATGCACATTGCAGTCTGTGGGGGTTGTCCTGGCTGGAGGGATGGGGACAGCCAAGGTACAGGGACACAGCTCTGGGGGTGGCAGAATAATCAGTCTTCTGCTTACAGGCCCAGGGCAGAAGGCCTGGGGAGGAGTGGGAGGGAAGGCCCCAGAGGAGGAAAAGACAGAAAAACCCAGGGCCTGGCGTCCAAGTGGGAGGAGGGAAGGTCAGGGAATAAGGGATGGTCAAGGGCACACAGGCAACAATGAGCCTCGTGCAGCTGGGGGCAGCTGAGCTGGGCCCAGGAGCAGGCGCGGCCCCAATCCTTATCACGTTCCCGCTGGGCCTCTGGCCTGCGACCAACTCGGCTGCACCCCTCCTTCCCCCCCAGCCCCCCCTCCCTAATCCCCTTGTCCCCATTTTCCACCCCACCCCCATGAGCCTTCCAGCCCAGCCTGGAGTGGAAAGCCTCTCTGGGTGGGTGAAGAGGGCCTGGTGGCCTCAGCTCCTGAGTGCAGCGGCACATTGTGGGACAGCAGAGGCTGCGGATGCTGGGGTGATGGGACGGAGAGTCGGCTGGCCAGGGCCAGACCTGCCAAGCTGGGCGTGTTGGGGGGTGGGGAGGAGTAGATTCCGGCTGCCACCCGCAGAGCTTGGAGACACAAAGGGCTCCTGTTGGGGCTGGGGATGGAGGGGGGGGTGAGGGAGGGAAAGATAGAGACAGAGAAAGGGGGTGAGAGATAGAGTGAGGAGCGGGAAGAGCAAAGAGCGTAGAGGGAATGAGAGGGAGAAAGGGACAGAGAAGAGAGAGAAGACAGAGGGGAAGAAGTGGGGAGGAGGAAGAGAACCGAGGGCACAGGCAGCCACAAAGGGAGGGGTGGGAGTGAGAGGACAAAGGGATAGGAGGCTGGAGCAGAGCACCAAGGAGAGAGGCTGACCCTTTCCAAGCCAGGTGCCTGGCTGCCTTCTGCCACCCAAGAGCTTCCCTTGACCCTCGCTATCCCCACCCTGACACCTCTCCCAGTCATTCTGTCCCATTACAAAACTGGGCAACTCCCAGACTCAAGTTACAGCCCAGGCCCTCTCTTCCTTGGAAGGTCCCCTCCCAGCCACCTTCCTGGGCAAATTCCAGCTCAAGCTGCTAAAAAGGAGCCATTAGAGCCCATTTCCTTTCCTAAGGCTTGGGTCCCACCCCACTGCCACAAAAAGGGCCAAGTGACTTCCCAAACACCTGGTGGCTGTGAGTCAGCCCAGAGCCCAGGACCCCTGCCTCTAACGAGGTCAAGGGACACCCTGGGGCTGGGTGGGGGCTGGATACCCAGAGTCAGCATGGACAAAGGTCCCAATTCCCACACCCATTCCTGCTTGCCCTATTCTCCCTAATGTTCCCGTTCCTAGGGGTTGGGAGCGGGGTAGGAGGTGGCAGGCCACCTGTCCCCACTGCAGTGACCAAAAGCTTCGCGGCTGAGTTCGGGTCTGCTCATCTTTCTGCACACTTGATTTCTGTGCCTAGCACCAAGCACATGGCAGGGACACAGGCGGGGTCTTGGATGGTGGAGACAGGAGTGCTGAGAAAGTTCAAGGGTGTGAATGGCACTGGGGAGAGAGAACGGGGTGCTGAGGCGCGGGTGCTCAGGGTGTGAGGGGGATGGAGCAGAGAAGACGCGTGTGGGAGGGTGAAGGGAAGGACGCCTGGGGCAAGCACCTGGTGTCCTTGTCCTCCGCCAGGCACCAGCATGCAGCCACCCACCCCCCAGGCCTCAGTTTCCCCAGCTCAAAAGGCCAGCGCAGGGTTTGGGTAGGCCCCCTTGCCCTCACGCTTCCAGGAGCAGCGGCTTCTGAGCGCTCTGCTCAGGGCTGTGCTCGGCTTCACTCACCAGGGTCTGCTCATACTGCAGCGCCCGCGGTTCCATCCCTTCCTCCACCGCCGCGGCCGCTGGGGCCGCCATCTCGGCGCGCTGCCCTCTTGCCTCCCTCTGCGGCTCCGGCTCCGGCCTGGACTCGGCACTCCGCCCGCGCAGCCAGCGCCGGTCGGTCCCCGTCCGGTCCCCGCAGCCCGGGCGGCCGAGAGCAGAGTGCGGCGGGCCCCGGGCGGGCGCCGCTGGCACGGCCTCCCGCTCCCGTCCCCTCCTCGGCGGGCGGGCCGAGGGCGGTGCCCTCTGCGCTGCTCCGCCCGCCAGCCCATCCGGAGGGGCCGGCCTAGCCCGGCTAGGGTCTGCGACGGGGCCGCCTCCCAGGCTCCGGAGAGGCGGCAGGGGGCGCCTGGAACGCGCCTGCCGGCGGAGAAGGACTGAGAGGGGCGCCCGCGGCCGGGGCGGGGCAGGGCCACTGGCACGTGGAGCCGGTCCACAGCTCTCCGTGCACGGCGGAGAGGGACCGGAGCCGCCGGGCGCTTAGGACTTCGGGCTCGGGGCTGCAGGGCTGCTAATTCGTGAGAGCAGCTGCCTTCTCTGCTGAGGACTGGAGGCCCAGGCGGGCCTGGAAAGGCCCCTCTGCGGGGGATTCGGAGGGCCATTCTGGGCTCCTGCCCTTGCTCGGGGCTAGCCTCAGGAGGTGCCCCTGCAATACCGGACCCGCCGGATTTTGCGGGCAAGGGGACTGGGAAAGAAAGGCCCGAGGGAAGGGAGTTCTAGTGCCTGGAAGGCAGGCGTCGGGGGTGGGGTGGGGTGGGCAGAGGTCGCTTCTCCTGGCAGGGCCCAAGGAAAACCCCAGGAGCTGCTGACGTCTCGCCGCCTTGGGGAAACGGCCTGCTGGGGTTTGGCTTTCTCTATCAGGGTCCGGGGAAGGAGAGAACAGAGGGTGGGGTGAGCACGGGGTGCACGGGCAGCGTTCGAGATAGCGAGCGCAGACGCGGCGTGCAGGAGGGCGGCAGGAGGCCAAGGAAGGGAGGTTGTGGGAGAAGGGGGCCAGCACCCGGGAGGAAGAGACAGGAAAGTGATCCAAGAGGAGGGCAGTGCTGGGGGAACACGCGGCACACGCTGAGGGGGCACTGCTAACGGGTAGGGCAGTGTGAGGGGATTTGTGGCAGGCGGAAGGAGCGAGCAGGGCCCAGGGGAAGAGGGCAGTGGTGGGGGGAGGGTGCAGCGCCAGAGGAGGGCAGTGCCAGCTTTCCTTTCCCCCGGAGTGATATCCTGGACGGCCCCGGCTCAGGTGACGTCCAGCAGGGCCGAGCCAGCCCCCGCCGACCTGGGGGCCCTCGGTGCCAGTTGAGGGACTAGGCATTACGTCCTGCTGGGCTAGCGCTCTGGGGGCGGAGTTTTGTTGCACCCGTCCCCGGCGCGGACTATGCCCTCGGGGGACACGAGGACCGGCAGGGTAGGGCTAGGGCCCGGCTTCTCTGGGGCAAAGATCAAGGTCTCGGCCTGGGTTAAGTCTCCAAGCATTCCAGGCTTCAGGGCCCGGACTCTGGAGAGGGCGAAGCGGAGCCCCAGCGGAGCGCGATAACCCGAGCCACCTCCGCCAGAGGTGGTGCTTGGGGCGTTCCCGCCCTGGGCGGAGTCACCTGGCTCGGAGACACGCCCTCAATGCGTGTTCCCTCGCCAGCAATCTATCGGGGCGGAAGTTGAGAATCCCCGAGGTGGAGGCGGCGGAAGTGGCTGCCGTACTGCAAGCTGGTGCGCATGCGCTTTCCTGCTGCTCTGCCGCCAGCGTTCAGGCGCCTTTTGCTCTAGTGTCTTCTTTTTCCACGCGAGAGTGGGCTAACTCGTAGTTGTGGTCTCGCTCCTCGCGTTTCCGCTGCTCTCGTGGCCCCCTCACGATGGCGGGCATCCTGTTTGAGGACATTTTCGATGTGAAAGACATTGACCCGGAAGGCAAGAAGTTTGACCGAGGTAGGTAAGGTGTGGGGTTTGGCCGAAGAAACTAACTTCCTCGGGACACACCCCTGGGCTCCGGCTCACGTGGCCTGCCCTTGCGGCAGGTCCTGATGTAGGGGCCTCTCCCAGGAGACCTTTTATGGATGAGAAAGCCGAGACGCCGAGCTCTCCCTGGCTGCACACACGCGGTGCCCAGTGCCATGGTGGTGGCAGGCTCCTGGACGTCTCTGCAGTCGCCTCTCACTTACACACATTTTGCCTTATTTAGTGCTCTCGAGAGTTCCCAGGAGGTAGGTGGTGCCTTCCTCTCCTCCTGGAGGGTAAGTTTGCCACCCAAGGCTGCACCGTGGTCAGTCTGACTTATGAGCCCGAATTCTTGTGTGGAGTCGAGTCTCCAGCTGATGTCAGACCCTCTGAGTTAACTGCGCGGTGCAGGCCAGGCGCCCGAGGTGTTTTTCAAGTCTCAGTTATTCAGTGAGATAATCCCCTTAGCATGGGAGAGGACACCTTTGGTTGAAGAAGTCCCTTGCCCAGACCCAGGTTCTAAATCACCCAGGTAGTGCCTAGAACTCTGTCTTTTGCTGCTAGAATATTTTGATTTGGGGGCAGGATTCCATTCATTTGCCATGCTTTTTTAAAAAATTATTATTATTTTTTAAAGATTAATTTTATTTATTTGAAAGAGAGAGAGGTAGAGACAGAGAAAGGTCTTCCATCCTTTGGTTCACTCCCCAGATGGCCACAACGGCTGGAGCTGTGCTGATCTGAAGCCAGGAGCCAGGAGCTTCTTCCAGGTCTCCCACACGGTGCAGGGGCCCAAGGACTTGGGCTATCCTCTACTGCTTTCCCAGGCCACAGCAGAGAGTTGGGTTGGAAGTGGAGCAGCCAGGATATGAACTGGCACCCATATGGGATGCCGGCGCCTTAGGTCAGGGCGTCAACCCACTGCGCCATAGTGCCAGCCCCAATTATTAATTTTTAAAGACTTATTTATTTATATGAAAGGCAGAATTACAGAGAGAGAGAGGGGTCTTTAATCCGTTGGTTCACTGCCCAGATGGCCACAATGGCCGGAGCTGCACTGATCTGAAGCCAGGCTCCTGGAGCTTCTTCCAGGTCTCCCACGTGGGTGCAGGGGCCCAAGGACCTGGGCCATCCTCTTCTGCTTTCCCGGGTGCATTAGCAGGGATTGGAAGTGGAGCAGCTGGGACTTGAACCGGCACCCATATGGGATGCCAGCACTGCAGGTGGGGCTTTGCCCACTAATCCACAATCGCTGGCCCCTGCCATGGTTTTTGTCCTCCATGCATATCTGGTTCTGAGCGAGCCTGCATTTCTCTCTCTCTCTCTCTCTTTTTTTTAAGGTTTGTTTTATTTATTTGAAAGACAGAGATAGGGAGAGACAGTGAAAGAGGTCTTCCATCCACTGCTTCACTCCCCAGGTGGCCTCAGTGCCTGGGGCTGGGTGAAGCCAAAGTGATCTGGGAGCTGGATCAGAAGCAAAGCAGCCTCTTCCAACTGGTGCTCTGATACAGAATGCCCACCTCGTACACAGCAGCTCTGCCCACTGCACTGCAGTGCCTGCACTTTTTTTTTTTTTTTTTTTTTTTTAAGATTTACTTACTTGTTTGAAAGGCAGAGTTACAGAGAGGCAGAGGCAGAGAGAAAGAGAGGTCTTCCATCTGCTGATTCATTCCCCCAAATGGTTGCAATGGCATGGGCTGGGCTGATCCGAAGCCAGGAGCTTCTTCCAGGTCTCCCACATGAGTGCAGGAGCCCAAGGACTTGGACCATCTTCTGCCTTCCCAGGCCATAGCAGAGAGCTGGATCAGAAGTAGAGCAGCAGGGACTCGAACCAGCACTCATTTGGGATGCCAGTGCTGCAGGTGGCGGCTTTACCCAATATGCCCTGTGCCTGCACTTCTGTGAGAGCACATAAGAGGCCAGTGGATGTAGATCAGGTTACATTAAATAGTCGATTGCCTGTAATTCCCAAACTGGGATCTGTCAGATCTGCCTTTGCCCTGGTAATTACATCGTCCGTCTCTCTGCTTCTCCCCAGTGTCTCGACTGCACTGTGAGAGCGAATCTTTCAAGATGGACCTCATCTTAGATGTAAACATTCAGATTTACCCTGTGGACCTGGGTAAGTATTGAACCCAGAGAATCAACAGAGGCTTCTTGCCGTCTCAGCTATTCTTTACGCCCAGATATTGCTGCTGTTTTCAGGTGACAAGTTCCGGTTGGTCATAGCTAGTACCTTGTATGAAGACGGGACCCTGGATGATGGGGAATACAACCCTACAGATGACAGGCCTTCCCGGTAAGGAGTGGGGATGGGAGGCCTGGAATACACGCTGAGGACTGAGATCAGTGGTAGAGAAAGACTGTTTAATTCTTGGAATAAGTGATTATCGGCAGAATTGGAGCAATCTTAAATAAATTACTGCACTTTAGAATTCAAACAACTGATGGAGCTGGCATTGTGGTGTAGCAGGTTAAGCTGCCCGTATCAGAGTGTTCAGCCCTGATTGCTCTGTTTCCGATCCAGCTTCCTGCTAATGTACCTGGGAAGGCAGCAGGAGGATGATCCAAGTACTTGGGCCCCTGCCACTGGTGTAGGAGACTTGGATGGAGTTCCAGGCTCCTAGTTTGGCCTGGCAGACTTGGCTGTTACGGCCATTTGAGGAGAGACCGGTGGATAGATGATCTCTGTCTCTGTTGCTCTGCCTTTCACATAAATAGATAAATTAAAATGAAAAAACGAGAATTCAAACAAGTGAATATTTGTCAAGAATGTGACGATTACGGCCTGTGAGTAACAGTTTTTTGTAGGCTGAGGAAGTGACTCCTGAGTCTGTGGCCCCTGTGACTTGGGAGGAAGGTTGCTGTGATGGAAGGCTTGAGAGCCGCACTGAGTTCACGTTTCAGCCCCACCGATTGTTTGTGGAACAGCTCTAACCTGTTTCAGCGTCTGTTTCCTCAGCGATAAAATGAAGCTGGGCATGCATCCCTCACGGGTTGCTGTGAAGACTGGGCAGTTTGTCTGTAAGGTGCCTGTTACTGCAGTGCTGGTGTTTGCTTCCTGTTACCAGTCTTTTTTATTTTTTTAAGATTTATTTATTTATTTAAAAGCACAGTTGCAGAGAGAGAGAGGGAGAGAGAGGTCTTCCATCCGCTGGTTCACTCCCCAGATGGCTCTAATGGCCGGAGCTGGGCTGATCTGAAGCCAGGAGCCAGGAGCTTCCTCTGGGTCTCCCTTGCAGGTGCAGGGGCCAAGGACTTGGTCCATCTTCTACTGCTTTCCCAGGCCACAGCAGAGAGCTGGATCGGAAGTGGAGCAGCCAGGACTCGAACTGGTACCCATATGGGTTGCCGGCATTGCAGGTGGAGGCTTTACCCACTGTGCCATAGCACTGGGACCCCTTGTTACCATTCTTAAGGGGTCTGTTATAATGTTTGTTTTAAAAAAATATTCACTTATTTGAAAGGCAAAGTTACAGAGAGAGAGGGAGAGAGACGGAGAAAGAGCTATCTTCCATCTACTGATTCACTCCCCAAATGACTACAGTGGCCAGGGCTGGGCGAGGCTGAAGCCAGGAGCCTAGAACTCCATCTGGGATTCCCACATTGGTGGCAGGGGCCCAGCCATTTGAGCCATCGTCCACTGCTTTCTTGGGTGCATTAATAGGAAGCTGGATTGGAAGTAAAGCAGCTGGGATTCAGACTGTGAGGTTGGCTTAACCTGCTGCTTAACCACAATGCTGGCCCCAAGCTTTTATTATCATTATTAATGTACTTATTTAAAAGGCAGAGTTACAGAGAGAGAGGGAGAGAAAGGGTTCTTCCATCTGCTGGTTTACTTTCCCCTTGGCAACAGCCAAGGCTGAGTCAGGCTGAAGCCAGAAGCCTGGAACTGCATTCAGGTCTTCTATGTGGGTGGTCAGGGGCCCAAGTTCCCAGGTGCATTAGCAGGGAGCTGGATTGGAAGTGAAGCAGCCAGGACTAGAACCAGCACTCATATGGGATGCCAGCATTGCCAGCAGCAGTTTAACCTGCTGTGCCACAATGCTGGCCTCTGTTGTTACTATTAAGAATAGCTTTGTAAGTTATTCTTACAGACAGTAAGTTACTCTTAATAACTTGGCCACTCTCATTCCCCAGGGCTGACCAGTTTGAGTATGTAATGTATGGGAAGGTATACAGGATCGAGGGAGACGAAACATCTACAGAAGCAGCAACACGTCTGTAAGTGGATGGCCACGTGAGAGTCCTTTCCCCCCTCTCTGATCTGAGAATTTGGCCACACTCCTGCTTCCTGTGAAGGGCCCCTCCCCGCAAGCACTTCAGACCTAAGTGGGACCTGGTCTGCAACAGGGCTGCTCTCCTTGTCCTCTCTTGGGACGTCAAGGCCCAGGGGGCCACAGGAGAAATTGGCTGTGTGAAGAAGTGTAAAGGAGAGTTGCTTTTCCCCGAACCCAACGCAGCATTAAGTGATTAAGCAGGCAGCCTTTTTGTTTTTGTTTACTTGTGTGTGTATGTGTGTTTTGCTGCTCTGTAACCCAATCCCTGGTTCTTGGGTTTCCCTGCTCAAGTATTTTTTCTTTTCTTTAAAATCTTATTAAAACAATATGTGCTCTTTGTAAGAAATTTGAAAAGCAGAGATGTAATATGAAGAAGGAGAAAAAGTCACCTATAATTCTCTACCCAGAGAGAATCTTTCATGTAAACATTTTTGGATATTCTAGTTCAAAAAAAAGTCTACTTTTTTTTCCTTTAAGATCATTTTGTATATTTCAGTGTTCTGTTTTTTTTTGCTTAATGTTTTGTAAGAGTTGTTTCCCCCAGGTCCATTTAAAGCTTTTCCTAAACATTTTAATAACCACATAACGTTCCAGTAAACGGGTCTATCTTAATTCATTTCGCCATTCCCCTAGTCTGGGGCTTGTAGGTGTTTTCCTCCTTCACTAATACAGAGAAGGTGGCCTTGCACACATGTGGACGTCCAGCCGTGCCTGAACTTTGGCTCCTAATGACAAAACAGAAAAGGCTGCCTCTTCTCTTTCCTAGGCGGGGCTGGAGAGCTGCTGAGTGCTGGCTGCTCCAGACCTCAGCCTCACGGGCCTGGGACCTTCTGTTTCAGCTCTGCCTATGTGTCCTATGGGGGCCTTCTCATGAGGCTGCAGGGGGATGCCAACAACCTGCATGGATTTGAAGTGGATTCCAGAGTGTATCTGCTGATGAAGAAGCTGGCCTTCTGAACCTCGCGGGAAGCCAGACTTGCTGCTCACTCCTGAGGTCGTGGACGGTGTGGACGGCGTGCAAGCCTGCGCAGCAGTGGCTGCTGTCCGCCCGTTTGGGAAGGGCTGGCTCTGTCTACTCTGGGTGCATCTTTAGCTGGTCTGGACTCACTGAGAAACAGCCTTGCCTGTGAAGGACCCAGGGGGACAGTGTAACATGAATCAGAAGTTGCTTTGTGTATATTTTTTAATTAAACTACTTTTTCACAATATCCCCTCCCCTTTGTTTAAAACAAAATTTCCACTGACTTTAAAATCATGCTTTCAAGTGTGTCAGTGTGTATTGTTTCTGCCTCACATCAGGTGAGCAAGCTTTGTCAGTACGGGGTCCCAGAAGTTTTGAAATTTTCACCAGCTAGCTTTTGGCGTCTGGGTTCAGGGTTTTCTCAGTCTTCGGGCTGACTGGTTCCAACATCTGTCTTCCAGTGTGGTTTTCTGTCTTGGGGGGAGGCTGTCGTGCTTTGGCTCCTGAGAGGAGTACCCCAGGCCTGGATGATACCATCTACTTGGCCTAGAGGTTCCAGTTGGCAAGATGGCCTGCTCATTTCCTTCCATCACTGCTAGTCTCCTGGGAAGTCAGCTCACCTTGGTGTGGCTGAGTCACTGCGTAGCTTGGAAGTGTTGGTCATTTTTATGGAAGCTTTGGGTTGGGGCTTTCAGACACAGGCATGGGCGCAGCTACTGTGATGAGAGTAGAAAGAGAGGACTCGGATATGGCAGCAGGTGGAGGCGCTGGCTCCCTGCTCTGTTCTAGCGTGAGCTGGGAGGAGGGTAAGTGCTGGTGATTCTCGGCAGTGACGCCAAGCAGGGAGCGGCTCACGGGCCAGTGGGGTGGACAGAGCAGCAGTACTGAGGACGCTGGCTGTCCTGTGCTGCTGCCCAGGACAGTGTGGTAGCTGGACCTCAGTCACTAACTTACAAGTGGGAGAAGAAAGCGTGAAGGAAATAGTGCTGACTACAAGGACTCCAGCACATGAGCTGGCTCTTCACTTTGTCATTAGAGGCCCCCTAGAAAGGACATGGGATTTGGTTTTTGCCCTGGAAATTCAGGGTAACAATCCAGAAAGATCGTCTGTGTATGCAGCAGTGGTCTCTTGATCTCCTGGTTTTGTCACCTGGGTTTGTCCCCTGCTGGGACGCCTAGGACAGTTCCTTCCCCATCATTTTCAGGTCTTTACATGAGGTGTTAGCAATAGTATTTAGGGAAATGGGTTGAAAATGGATGGCCTCAGCAGGGAGGCGGACAAGGGGTGCTGTTTTTACCTTGCGGTGGGTGGAGAATAGGAGATGCATTGGGGGTCGGGGTGTGTCTCCATGGAATTCTAGAGCCTTTCCATGAAGTCAGGTTTTTGTGGGGGATTGGAGAAGGATGGCTTTAGGTCAGAGTGGGAAAACTGAATTGCCAGTAGTGGTTTGGAGGCTATCATAGAGTGTCCTGGCTACCCTGGGGGGAAGAGGGAACTTGTGTGAAGTTGAAGAAGGACAGGTATTCTGTTGTGATGTGTGTGTGTGTGTGTGTGTGTGACAGGGAAAGGGGACAGAATCAGTCAAACAGTGATTTGGGGATGGGTGAGAGTCTGAGTAGAGGCAGATTAGATTAGTTTGCACTGGAAAATCTGGTGTTCGCCTTCTGACATTCCTTCAGTCAGATGCCAGTATCAGATCAGATACCCGGAACTTGCTGCACTTGCTTCTTCCCCAGCCTTATCTCATTTGTGCTGAAAACAGAATTCTTTTGTCCCTTTGGCATGTCTTGTCCTGGATGCTGGCTTTGTCATGTGCCACATTTAGCCTACTTCAGTGTCTCAGTAAATTTCAGTTTTCACTTACCATTCCCTTGACTGTATCCTGGAATTTGTGGCACAGATGAACTAATTCTCTCCCCTGCAGAAACCGACACGGTCTGAGATTTAGACAACATGTTTGAACTTTGTGCATTTGTTGATTCCTTCTCCATGGTAACCGTTCTGTCCCTGAGGGGTGAGGGGGACACCTGGAGATGTCTAAAGTGGTCACCCCCTCCAAGAGCTTCGGCTTTGTACTCAGAAGCTCTCAACTGTTGATGTATTTACTCCCTAAGGACTGGGAAGTCCTCCGCAGTACGTGGAAGTACTGAGTGATGCCTTGGACAGCACCGCACTGGGGAGAGTGGCGTGCAGAGTGAGTCAGACCAGGCTGATTCTTCTTTCCCTGCTCACAGGCTGTGGGACCACTGGGAATTCACCTAGCTTCTCTGAGCCTCAGTTTTCTCATCTGCAAAACAGAGGTGATAATACCCGCCGTACAGAGTTGTGGGAGCATATAATAGGTGATGGACTCGAGATTCCTGGCACATTGGCTCTCCATCCAGTTTTAATACCTTTGGTGACGCTGGGGTTATTTGAAGCAGGGTTTGGAACTCTGGCTCCCTGCCTTCTCTCTCTACAGAGGAGCCTCTCCTCCTTTCCTTTGTGGGGGGGAGGGAAAGAGGCGCCACCAGTTTTCATGGCCTGTGCAGGTAGCAGGTTGACGTTTGCAGTGGAGTCTTTGTGCAACGTAAGCCTCGTCCTGCTGAGCACCAGGGCAGCACTCACTCGCACAGCCCCAGAGGCCTTTGTAGCCTCCCCTCAGAGTTTACAGTGGTCACACAGGGCTGCCTCCTAGAAGTACTGGCGGGAATTGGGAAATGAGCTTGTACTTGCACTTGTCCCTCCTGCTGTGTGAGCGGCTAGGAGCCTGACTCCTGCCACTTCCTGCATTTCCCCCTGACCTCCACAGGAGGGAGGCAGGAGCCCAGGCCTGGCGAAGCCTCCCGCTGAGTTGCTGAAGCTGTAGCTGTTTGCTCAGCTGTCACATCCAAGGCTCCTCTTTAAGGAACTGTCTACAGCACTGCCTACCTGGGGTGTGAGGCTCCCCGGGCTTCCTGTGAGTGCGTGTATGAGAGCAGCCTCTCTCCTTGCCTTCTAGTTAGCTTTTGGGTGCTCTTTACACGCTCGGTTTTGTCTGCTGCATGGGGACAGCCTTTTGGTCCCTGAAGAGTAAGGATCTCCAGAACAGAGGCTTAAACAATCTCCTGAGGATGCTAATGAAGGGGAGGGGGCACCAGAGGGCCTTCGTCTTGAAGCCAAGGAAATACCTTTCTCTTTCTTCTGACATAGGGTCAGTCTGCACCTCTGTCCAAAGGCCGAGCCAGTTCAGGCCTTTCCAGAACTGCCGTGTGGAAAAGCACATAGAGCTTTGGTGAGGCGCAAACGTGTGCAGAAAACAGACCAAAGGTACTGGCTGCTCTGATGAATATTGTTGATAGCTTAAAAAAATAGGAGCTTCTGAAATTTTATAACATACAGTGAAAAATGGTTTGCGCCGTGTGTCCCTCGTTACCAGGGCTTTGGGTTTCAGGCGAAAGCGGGCATGCGGCCCGGCCTCTCTCCTGGGGAGGGAATGGGCCACGTCACCAGCTGAGCACCTCACCCTCCCGGCACCAGATTCTGAGGGTGGGCTGCAGCCGGCACAGGACTGCCAGGGTTGGCTGTGGTAGCCGGATGGTCAGGACGCAGGGGCTGGAGCTGGACCAGGTGGCTGGGTGAGGCTGGGGCAGGAGAGAAGAGTGTGTACCATGGAGGAGGAGGATGGGTTGGGGAAGGAGAGAATCCCAGCTGGAAGCTGGGTGGCAAGGAACCTGCGTCCGAAGTCTCTGGGGGAATGACCGAGGCTCCCAGGGTGCTGGCTGAGGGCCCAGGAGAGAGTCCGTGAGTTCCACCCAGGGGTCCGTGTGTCCTGTTCGGGTGTCCAGGGACTCGGTCCAGGGTTTGGTTTAGCAGACCAGGAATCTTGGCCCTGAGTCCCCGCAGCCTGTTCAGAAGTCCAGCGCCAGTAGTTCTGGCTGTGACCCTGGAGCTGGTCTCCAGCGATCCGGAAGTCCTGTTTGGGAGCTTGTTTGGTGTGAGGAATAGAGGGGTGCTGCCTGGGACAGCGGCAGTGGGTGGGGCCCGCCTGACACACAGCGTGGGCCCTGCTACGAGCAGCAGGAAGCGCACCTTTCCTCGGAGCAGCTGCTGGAAGCTCATGAAGATGGCACTGGGATCCTTGTGTGCTGTGGTCCTGCTCTGTGGAGGAAGCTGAGGGCAGAAGATGGGCCTGAGGCCAGAGGCCAGGGCCAGCCCTCAGGTCTCCCTCGTCTACACGGGAAGGAGGGGAGCAGCACCCCGGCGTCCTGTCTGGGAGGGAACGCTCCTTGGTGGATCAACTCTTCTACCCTCAAGGTCTCTGGAGTGCCCTGCTTCCCCTCAGGTCCTCTACGCGAACCGAGTCAAAGGACAGTGTCTATGGGTTCTTCGACTGTGGACTTACCTGGGTTCCAAGTAGGCCCTGCAGGGCCCCAAGGAGGAGGCGGACCTGCCCCGAAAGCTGTCCCAGCAGGGAGGAGAGGCAGGTGGGTTCCAGCTGTCGCCGAGCTGCCATCACTGCCTCCAGCAGAAGGGTCGCTGCTCCCAGAATGTCCTGGGCCTTGGTCTGCTCCTGGGAAAGCGACAGATAGAGAAACGTGGACTGCTTCAAAGGGCATTCTAACAGTGGGCGGGGAGCCTGTAGGAGTAGCCAGCAGGATGAATCATAGGAGCTGAGAACCGGACAGGACCAAGGTCCCACCCAGCGCAGGAATTCCTCAGTCTCCCGACAATTGGTCATCAGCCTCTGCTTCAGTAACTCCAGTGTCCGCTAACCCGGTCTCGTCTTACACTTCCAATGTACTGAAAAAAGTTCTCTGTTACTTAGCTGAAGTCTGCCCTATGACAGCCTTTACCTCTTGGTTCTGGTGCTGCGAATCTACCTGCTATAAAATTGTAGGATCATGGGATTTGTCACATAAAGGTGGAGATGAGACTCTATGGTAGTGATCCTCAGAACAAAGGGAAGGGGCTTACTAACGAATGGCAGAGCTGGGACCCCAGGGATCCATAGGCACTGCCTTCTTCTCTGGCCCAGCTGCCTGGGAAGAGCTGAGGCAAGGTGGATTCTAGGCACCGCGAGGGTGGAAGAGCTGACTTACCCACAAGGGCTCCGACTCAGAGGTGTCCTGAGTCCCAGGCCGAAGCACTTCCTGCTGGCCCATGAGACTACCACTTTTCTCCAAGCTAATCAGACAGGTTTTTGATTTTTTTTTTTAACTACTCCTAACATTTCTCCAATCTCTATCTAAGTTGTTCCCTTCTGTACACACATTAGTTTAATGTGGTTCCTCTTTTTTTTTCCCCCAAAGAAATTGTCTATTTAATGAGTACAAATTTCATAAGTACAATGAGTACAAATTTCATAAGTATATAGTGATTCTTGCCATCATACCTGCTCTCCACACCCATTCCCACCTCACCTCCTTCCCCCTCTCCCTTCCCAGTCCCATTCTCCATTGAGAAAAAAACAAACTTCCTTGACAGTCAAGACAACGGCTGTTCAAGTCATTGCTTCTCAAAGTGTCAATTTCTATGGTATTTGTCCCTTTGGGACTGGCTGATTTCACTAAGTATGATGTTTTCCAGATTCAATAGTTTTGTTGAAAATGGCCGGATTTCATTTTTTAAAACTGCTATGTAGTATTCCATAGAGTACCTATCCCATAATTTTTTTATCCAGTCTTCAGTTGATGGGCATTTAGGTTGACTCAATGTGGCTCCTCTTAATAAATTAGCATGTGTCTTGAGGGGGACATCTAGTACTTTGGCCAGTACTTATAAGTGCAATCACTTAGGACAGGGCTCTCTAGGAATATGTCCACCATATGGATATTAACAAAATCTACATCAGGAGCTGGTGTTAAGCTGCTGCCTGTGACATTGGCATCAACATGTCCCAGCTGCCCCCCTTCCAATCCAATTCCCTGCTAGTGCCCCTGGGAAAACAGCAGAGAATGGCCTGAGTGCTTAGGCTCCTGGCACCCACATAGGAGACCTGGATGAAGCTGCTGGCTTGTGACTTGGGCCTGGCCCAGCCCTGGCAATTACAGCCTTTTTGGGGAGTAAACCAGCAGATGGAAGATCTATGTCTCTCTCTCTCTTTCTGTGTAACTCTGCCTTTCAAATAAATAAATTCTTAAAGAATAAACATAAAAATCTACAGCAATCTAGAATTGCTAGCTTCTATTTTTTAAAATCATATTTTAAAATTTTACTTGTTTATTTGGAAGGCAGAGACAGAGACAGACAGAGAGCCTACATCCATTGGATTGCTCCCCAGCTGGTCATAACAGCCAGGGTTGGGCCAGGCTGCATGGAGGAGTCAGGAATTTGACCTGGGTTTCCCATGTGGGTGGCAGGGACCCAAGTACTTGAGCCATCACCTGCTGCCTCCTAAGGTGTACATAAGCAGGAAGGTGGAATTGCAAGAGGAGACAGGACCAAGGACATCTGAATGCAGACATCTGATATGGGATGCAGCGCCTCAGAGGCAGCTTAAACACTGTGTCAAGTGCTGGCTTCTAGCACTGCTAGCTTTTAAAACAGCTGCGTTATTACTGTGACATGCTGGGCCAGCATTGTGGCATAACAGGTTAAGCCTCTGCCTGTGATCCTGGCATCCCATATGGGCACCGATTTGAGTCCTGACTGCTCCATTTCCAATCCAGCTCCCTGATAATGCACCTGGGAAAACACCAGCAGACGGTCCAGGTCCTTGGGCCCCTGTACCCACATGGGAGACTTGGAAGAAGCTCCTTGCTCCTGGCTTCAGCCTGGCCCAACCCTGGCTGTTAACCAGCAGATGGAAGATTCTCTCTCTCTCTCTCTCCTCTCTCTCCTCTCTAATTCTGCCTTTCAAAATATAATTAAAAAAGAAGGTAATTTTTAAATTTTTAAAGGAATTATTGTATTTATTTTAAAGACAGAGTTACAGAGAGAAGTAGAGCTAGAGAGAGAGGTCTTCCATTATGCTGGTTCACTCCCCAAATGACCTCAATGGCCAGAGCTGAGCTGATCCAAAGCCAGGAGCCAGGAGCTTCTTTCGGGTCTCCCACATGGGTGCAGGGGCCCAAGAACTTGGCCATCTTCTGCTTTCCCAGGCCATAGCAGAGCTGGATCGGAAGTCGAGCAGCTGGGACTCGAACCGGTGCCCATATGGGATGCCGGTGTTGCAGTCTGGGGCTTTAACCTGCTGCACCACAGCACCGGCCCCAATTTTTATTTTTAAAGAAACTTATTTGAGAAGCAGAGCCAAATACTTGGAGACAGCTCCCATCACCTGGTTTGCTCCTCAAATGCCAAATGTCGTCAGTGGCTGGGGGTGGGCTGGGGCAGAAGCTGGGAGCTGGGAACTCAGCCCAGGTCTCCCTAACCATCTGAACATCACTGCTGCCTCCCAGGGCCTGCACTGGCAGGAAGCCGAGTCGGGAGGCAGACGAGGGCATTGAAGCCAGGCAGTCCAGTGGGGAGCGTGGACGTCTTCTGTTAGGCAAAATGTCAGTCCATTTAGCTTGTTTTTCCTTTTAGCCATTCAAATTTTGATTCCTTTTTGTTGTTGTTGTTATTATTTTAGTGGTATTTTTCAGCCTTGTATTAATTTTGAATGACAGATCACTCTTATTTCTTGATGCCAACCTAAGAAAACTGATTGGGAATGGATCAAAAGCCATGAGAGATTTCTGTTGGCTTTTCATGGTGTTCAGCTTTGAATCTATTGAACGCTGGGCTTGTAAGCCATCATCTTGTCCATGGACTATCATCATAGCTGAATGAATGTAGATGGGATTAGGGTGCCCAAGCTGAAGATGAGATATTGTTAGGGAGCTCAAGAATTTTGAAGACTCTAGGAAGGAGCAGGGGTGGATAGGACTTAAGGAAGCCAAAGTGAGGGATGCCTTAATTCTTACCGTCTGGGTCTTCCATTCTCCCAAGCTAAAGTCTACAGCAGGCAGCAGGACAGGTGTGGATAAAGGGTTAACGTCTGGGCACTGGCTCTGTTGAGAAAGATTGGTGGGGGGAGAGGGGAGCTGAGATGGGGGGTACGGTGACCCAATGACCAGATGATCTCAATAGTCTTCCATGAATCATAAGTCCAGACTAGAATTTTTACAAGAGGTCTCTGTGGCAAATCAGGATCCTCAGCAGGGAGCGATGATCTTACCAAAGACAATACTGGAAGTGGAGCCAGGTAAGGGAGTGAGAGGGAGCCACGGGAGGGAGCAATCTTACCGGTGAAGTGGATAGAGGGGCTAGTGCTTGGGAGTTCTCACCAGTCTGCCGTGGAGGACATGGGCGTCACGAAGCAGTTTATTTAGGAGTCGGGGGTCACAGGCAGGAGGAGCTGGGCTGGACAGAGTTAGTCTTGCAGTTAGCAGAAGCATGACCACGAGGAGCAACTCTTAGATGAGGAGAGGTGAGATTGAAAGGGGTGGATAAGGAAGAAATCATTGTCGGGTGGTGGCTCAGGAATTCCCACTTAGGACCCAGACCTGAAATGCAGGCCACCTGCTACTTCCTCCAAGGACCCCAGGCTTCCTCAGTCCCTCATCCCACCCCCTCTGCAATATGTCTGCTCTCTGTCCACTCCCCCACCCCTGGCCATGCTCCGACCCGACTCCAGCCCCAGACGTGGGCTCTTACCAGTCAGCACCATTCTGGCCAGCGGGTCTGGCTGGAGTGGCTCCCTGAGTGGGGCCTCTCCCCTGAGTCCTTCCTGGGGCCATGGAGCCGGCTGGAGCTCTCGCACTTGGGGGCTGAGTGGGGCGGGGCACAGGTAGGCCAGCAGAGAGGGTCTGGAATCTATGCTGAAAGTGGCAGGAACCATGATAATTCAATCAAGTTTCCAGGGGGAAGTCTGCCAGGCAGGGCGGGGAACAGGTGCTGGGCAGGTAGCACTGAACTGCCCAGAACTGGAGCCTAGATTGCTAACTCTGATGGCTCCCACGTTTGCTGTGGCCTCCCCTTTGTCAGCTCCTCAGTGAGTTTGCCTCTCCCCTAGCTGAGAACAGCAGGACGGGATGTACACACACACACACACACACACACACACACATGCCACCTCTTCATCGACCTCAAGTTCTGAGAAACCTGGGTTGTTAGGTGGGAGAAAATGTGGGGCAGGGAGAGAGCCTGGAAGTCCTGTGGTGCCAGCCTGGAGAAGAGAGTGGCCAGCAGGCTGAAGGGCCAGGAAGGGGACTCAAAAACATGGACAGGCGTGACTGAAGCTTCAGCTTTGTGCAGTGGAGTTGAGGAGGGGAACTAGGTGAAAATGTAACTGGGACTGCTAGAGGTCAGGAATTAGGAGGTGGTGTGGGAGAAATTCACCTCTCATTCTTTCCCCCAGTGATCCCCACACGTAGGACTCCTGGAGTGTCTCTGCACACCAGGTTCTGAAACACCCTGTTATCTGTGGCCCAGAGATGGGCTAACAGTCCTGGGGACTTCCTTCCTGGGGCAAGCAGCCCGGGAACGGGCATCCGCTGAGCAAGGCTAGGTCCACCTTCCATCGTCACCTTACACACCTGCCAACATATCTGTCCCATAGCCTGCACCTGCCTCCCCGCCCCCTCTGCAGACCCTTTCTGGTTTCTCTATAGGACCCCCCACAAGGCTTCCTCCTCCTTTCACAAGTTGTGCAAAGAGGCCAGCACCTGATTCAATATTGGGATTTCCTGTAGGTCTGTCAACATGCACCAGCCCTCCTCCCATTCCTCTCTTCTTGTGCCCTGGCTGGCCCGAGTCAGCTTCCCTGGCTCCAGGATTCAAAACTTTAAGCCAGTAAGGAATGCCAGGAAGGAAGGGAGACTGGGGCTCTGTCCATCTTGGTACCATGCTCCCCAGGCCCTAAATGCACTTCCTGTCTTACATTCTCCCCAGGCCCAGGTCCCTGTTCTCTAGGGTCAGCCAGGACTGTGCTGTGTTCTACTATGTCTGTGATTAGTCCCTCGGAACCCAGTACCCCACCCCCTACCCCTGCTCTGTCCTGCTCCTCCCATTCTGGGAAGGCTCCACTCTTCTCGACAAAGGTCAGTGCCTGTAGGTTCCAGTTTGCCTGCCCCTCCCCCAGCTGCAAGCCCAGTTCCTCTTTCCTGTCCTTCCTACGCTCACCTAACCCCAAACCCTGCTTGTCACTCACCAGGTGGAGAAGGGCTCAAGGACCCAGGTGCACAGCAGGCAGTGCTCTGGGGAGCCGATGGGTAGGAAGACTTGTGGCGTTGGGGCACAGCCTCTCCACGGCAGTGGGGTCACACGCCTGCTCTGGCCACTTCTGCCCAATCAGAGAGCAGGGAGCCACTGGACACTGGCAAAGGCCCCCGGAAGTGACGCCTTCTCCTCCCAGCCGCGCTGGACCCGGAGCCCCTGCCTGGACCATGGTCCACTAGTGGAGCCCAGCTCCTCCACCCACACACACCACAGGAGGATTTGGATAGGGGACTCTGTCTTCTCCTAGGAGATGGGAAGTCTGGGACCTGACAACGGGCAGAGGTGGGAAAGGAGCAGAGGGTTTTTGTTGTTGTTGTTGTTGGGGGTGGGGGGGTGGGGGGAGGAGGATCTGGCAGGACACCTGTGTCCTGGAGGAAGCGGCACAGAGGTCTTGCTTCAGACTGGTGGGTTTTCAGTCCTGGCTATCTACATTTCTTTTCCCTGCACACCACACCTGCTGCTGAAATCCAATCGGCTCTTGCCTTCCCACTTTCCTATAACCCCCTAGGGAGTCCCGTCTTGTCACTCTCCCTTTCCAGGTGGGGATCTGGGTATGGCCTGTGCTACAGGGGTCCTCTTATGGGTCATTTTCTGGCAGAGGGCTTTGGCCAGCTGAGGGGATGGGAACACGAGTAGCGGGTGCTGGGTTGAGCCCGGCTCAGGTCCACTTATCTTGGTGCCCGTGCCCTGCCTTTCTCCCTCTTCCATCTCCTGTCATTCCACATGTGACAAGAGGAATAACCAGGCCCATGTGTCCCTGTCTTAGAAAGACAGCTGCTGGGCCTCCCCTGCAAATACCTCCCTGCTGGCCCCTCTGCCTTTGGCCATGGCTCTGTTCCTTTGCTTTCCCCTCAGTCCTGGTCTCCCCATAGCCCCTGTCCTCAGGGGCCTCCTGGCCTGACCTTGTTCCCGGCACACCCCCTGCCCGCACAGGTTCCTCCCCAGGCTTTCTCCTGTCTTCCTCCCCAGGATGGGGCTGCCTGCGAGGGAGCATGGCCTAGATCCCGGAATTCTCTAGTTCAGCCAGAAGAGATTCCTCCTGAGATTAGGAAGGAGGGTGCTGGGACGGCTGCGGGGATGGTGGGTGTGTGGGGGTGGGAGGGCATGGGGGGGCAGCCACTACCAGGAAAGGGCGTTTGGGGAGTAGGCTGGAGAGGCAGAGGGGCCCGCAGGAGAGGGCAAGAGATGATGGCCGGGTCCACCTGGGAGACGCTGTCACTGGACAGAAGGAGCACCCTGCCTGTCTTGGGAGCACTGCAATGAGAAGACACCTGGGGGCAGTGAGAGAGAGGGTGGTGCTGTGGGCCGGGCTCCAGGGGACATCCGCGGATGGACCTCTCCCGCTCCTTGTCATCCTGAAAGGAAAGTCTTCATCCTTGGGTAGGAGCAGGGTCCTCACCCTGGGACCCTCGGGGCCTCAGGCCCAGCACCCGCCCCTGCCTAGCCGGAGACTCCCGACCTGGGCCTGACATGGACACCTCGGGGTCCGGCCATCCTGTGGCCGCCAGCAGCGGGGGGCTGCAGGCCCGCCTCTCCTCCCCCTCTACGCGCCCCCAGGTCCTTCCCCTCCCCCTCCCCCCTCCGCTCCCCCTTCCCCTCCAGCCCCTCCCTCCTCCCCTGCCCGGTCCCAGCCCCTCCCTCCCCTCCCCCACTCGCGATCCGGGCCGCTGCCGCTGGGCCGGACCCCCCGGGCTCAGCCCGGCCCCTCGCCGAGCCGCCGCCGCCGCCCCGTTTGCTGAGGAGGAGGCCCCCGGCCGGGGCGTCGGGCGCGGGGCATAAAACGGGCCGGAGCCGGCGCCCGGGGCACTCGAAGCCACATACGGCCCGGGTCAGCGCCCGCCCGGCCGCGCTCTTCCCGGCCGCTCCGCCCGCCCCTCCCGGCCCGGCGCCGACTCCGCGGCCGCCCGACGAGCCCCTCGCCGCACTGCCCCGGCCCTGGCCCCGGCCCCCTCCCGCCGCACCGCCCCCGGCCCGGCCCTCCTCCCTCCTCCCGCGCCCGCGCCCTCCTCCCTCCCGCCTCCCCAGCTGTCCCGTTCGCGTCATGCCGAGCCTCCCGGCCCCGCCGGCCCCGCTGCTGCTCCTCGGGCTGCTGCTGCTCGGCCCCCAGCCGGCCCGCGGCGCCGGCCCCGAGCCCCCCGCGCTGCCCATCCGTCCCGAGAAGGAGCCGCTGCCCGTTCGGGGAGCGGCAGGTAGGTGGGCGCCCGGAGGTGGGGGGGTAGACGCGGGCGGGGAGTCGGCTCCGGGCAAGTCCGCGCCCGCCCGGAGGGGCCGGCGGGGCGCAGGTGGCTCGCACGGCGGGCGGCCCGGAGGGGCGGGCGGGGGCTGCGGGGCGCGCGGTGCCAGGGGCCCCCCGGGGCCCGGCGGGCAGCGCCCGGGGCGGGCACCCGGCACGAGCTGGGCAGCGGCCGCCAGCCAAGCCCGTCCCTGCAGGCTGCTCGTTCGGCGGGAAGGTCTATGCCTTGGACGAGACGTGGCACCCGGACCTGGGGGAGCCCTTCGGGGTGATGCGCTGCGTGCTGTGCGCCTGCGAGGCGGTGAGTGGACGCGGCGGCCGCGGCCCGGGCCCTCACGGGTTGGGAAGCGCTGGGCTCCCGAGCCGGCGGCGTGGATTCGGAGCTGGTCCGCACACCCGAGCGTTTGGGGGTGTTGTCCTGGCCGCCCGCCCTGCGGGTCTCAGGTGTTGACTCATTGATCACCCGCCATGCGCGCGGCTCTGCGCCGGCCGCGTCTCCCCTGTCACTTAACTTAAAACTCTGCTAGAGGGATCCAGTTCTTTTCCCAGATGGGGAAGGCAAGGCCCAGAGAGGTTAGGTAACTTGCGTAGGGCCACGCAGCCTGGAAGTGCGCGCCGTCCTTGCCGCGCTGCGCCGGCTCGCTCCCCTTGGTCATCGAGAACTGACTTGCTTGTCCCGTTTTCTCCCCGAGCAGCCTCAGTGGGCTCGCCGTGCCAGGGGCCCTGGCAGAGTCAGCTGCAAGAACATCAAGCCCGAGTGCCCAGCCCTGGCCTGCGGGCAGCCGAGGCAGCTACCGGGACACTGCTGCCAGACCTGCCCCCAGGGTAAGGCCTGCTCCGCAGGCGGCAGCGATCCCAGGTCCTGGGCCACTTGTTTCGGGGCAGCTCGCCCAGCGCGCGCTGAAGGCGGTGTCCCTTAACCCTGGCACAGAACGCAGCGGTGCTGAGCGGCAGCCACCGGGCCTGTCCTTTGAGTATCCGCGGGACCCCGAACACCGCAGTTACAGCGACCGCGGGGAACCGGGCTCGGAGGATCGGGCGCGCGGTGAAGGCCACACTGGTAGGCGGGGCCCGGGGTAGGGTCGTGAGGAGGCCGTATTGCCAGCGGCAGCTGACAGTGCTCAGTCCATCTTTCCTCCCGGTGCAGACTTTGTGGCGCTGCTGACAGGGACGAGGTCGCAGGCGGTGGCACGTGCCCGGGTCTCACTGCTGCGCTCCAGCCTGCGTTTCTCCATCTCCTACCGGCGGTGAGGGGAGGGGGTGGGGAGGAGGAGATGAAGGAGAACAGGAGGTGGGGGGGCTGGGCCACCCGGCTCACCTGCCCTCTCCTCTCCAGACTGGACCGGCCCACCAGGGTGCGCTTCTCTGACCCCACTGGCAGCGTCCTGTTTGAACACCCCGCAGCCCCCACTCAGGACGGCCTGGTGAGATGATACCACTCATGAGTGCTTGCCTGGTCTGGGTGCTGTGCTGAGAGCGCGTGCCCTGCTGCCTCCTCTGGTCTCTGCGAGAGCCCAGAGCGAGAAAGATGCCCATTTTATAGACGAGGGATTTGTTCAAGGTCACACAGTTAGGGAGTGGTAGAGCCAGGACCTGAACCCCAGCATCAGGTTCCTGGGCCCCTTCCTAAGCTTCTTAGGGGGGCTCTGGGGGCTCCTCTCCACAGACCTTCCTCTCCAGGCCGGGGCCTTGGGGCTGGCCTGTCTGCGTCCTGAGCGCAGGGCCTCTTGTCTCGATGCTCCAGGTCTGTGGGGTGTGGCGGGCAGTGCCTCGGTTGTCTCTGCGGCTCCTCAGGGCAGAACAGTTGCATGTGGCACTCGTGACACCCACTCACCCTTCAGGGGAGGTCTGGGGGCCTCTGATCCGGCACCGGGCCCTGGCTGCAGGTAAGGGGAGCCAATGGCCCCTGGGTGTGCAAGTCTGAGTCCCAAGGTGGGTGGGCCGAGGGGAGGATTTTCTGGTGGCCTCTCATGGCCCTCGCTCCCGCAGAGACCTTCAGCGCCATCCTGACTTTGGAGGGCCCCCAGCAGCCGGGTGTAGGGGGAGTCACTCTGCTGACGCTCAGCGACACAGAAGACTCCTTGCATTTTTTGCTGCTCTTCAGGGGGCTGCTGGACCCCAGGAATGGGGGTAAGCGGGCTGGGGAGGAGAGAGGGAGCAGAGGAAGGGAGCACCTTTCCCAGAGGAAGGGCCACACGTGCGACTGTTGCAGGGCTGTCCCGGGTTCCCTTGAGGCTCCAGATTCTACACCAGGGGCAGCTGCTGCGAGAGCTCCAGGCCAATGGCTCAGCCCAGGTATGTGAGGTTGTGCCTCGGCTGCTGCCAGCTCTGGCTTCTTGCTGGTGCCCACCGCGCCCTGCTCTGTCCCCAGGAGCCGGGCTTCGCCGAGGTGCTGCCCGACCTGACAGCACAGGAGATGGACTGGCTAGTGCAGGGAGAGCTGCAGATGGCTCTGGCGAGGACAGCTGGGCCGGAGCTGCGCATCAGTGGGCACATTGCTGCCAGGCAGAGCTGCGATGGTGAGGCAGGGTGGGGCTAGCACCCGCAGACGTGCCAGGGAAGGGACCAGGATGGATGTGGGAAAGATCCTGGGGGCCAGGGCTATGAGTGACGGTGCAGCAGCCCTGCCACAACCTGTCTTGCAGTCCTGCAAAGTGTCCTTTGTGGAGCTGATGCCCTGACTCCTGTCCAGACTGGGGCTGCTGGCTCAGCCAGCCTCACACTGCTAGGAAATGGCTCTCTGATCTATCAGGTAAGAGGGGCTGTAGGGGGAGAGGAGGGTAGCAGGGAAGGGCCTGGACCTGCGATGGTTCAGGTCCCGGGCTTTCAGCGTCACTCTACTTAATTTGCCTTCCTCCAACCCTGCCCATCAGGTGCAGGTTGTAGGTACAAGCAGTGAGGTGGTGGCCATGACACTGGAGACCAAGCCTCAGCGAAGGAACCAGCGCACTGTGCTGTGCCACATG